GGTTATATTCGAGTAAAGTCTGTAATTATATAAAAAAATATATAAAAATATAAAATTTGATTTTTTCACTTATTAGAATTCTTTCTCTACTTAAAAGCATTAATTTTATCGTTAAGCATTAAACATTTAGTTAATTTTTTATTTTATAACTCATCAATGATCATTTCGAATAAGTTTTTTTTCTAATAAGTAATTTATTCTAAAAATTTATCATTTGTTGATTATTAAAAATGAAATTTTCATGAAATTTTTAAAAATAGCAAAATAATTTTGGCAAATATTATCGAAATACTTTTTTTTTTTAAATCGTAGACATGGAAATTAAAAAAAAAAACTACGATAGTGAATCCATTTTTTTTTTGGATTTTTTAACCGAACAAGTGGACGAATTTCATTTTTAACGATAAAATTATTGAAGTAAAGGAAAATCACGATAGAATTTCGATAAATTTTTAAAACCCAAAATTATCATAATGAAATAAATGAGAATATGGAATGGCTCAGTGAGTTGTTTTCGGAGATCTCATTGCGGAGATTCTATTCCTGACAGCAGCAAACTTCTAGGTTCTTCTAAGTTCGACTGATGCTACCAATTCATTTCTAGCCAGTTCTATGATTTCTTAATAAAATTTATCAGATTCAACAAAACATTGTTAGAAAAAAAATTGATGAATCGTATAAATAGAAAGAAATTTACGGTTATATTCGGTTCAAATATTAAAGTACCAATGTTTGTTAGACTTTCTACCAGTTACTCGAATTTCGTTTTGAATCTTTAATTCCTGCCAAGTGATAACTCGAATCTATGTTTAAAATATTATATCGAGAGAATAATTATATTAAAAAAGTTGAAAGTTGAAAGAAATTTTATATATGAAAATTTCAAATATTTATTTAAATTGGTAAGAATTTTCAACAATATAGACCCAGTATTTTTATTGGCACAAAAAAGGCTGCACTTATTTCCAATTGAAAAAATTTGGCATGACTAATCCTTCTTTTAAGGATACTCCTTTAGGAAACCGCATCCACAAGTGCATGGATTCAGTCAAAATAATTTATTTTTCCTACCAATTAGACTGGATGTAAGAGTTTTTAAGCCTTTTGATCCAAAGCCATATCTTCATTTTTTTTTCACTTAACCTTAACCACTTAACCTCATGCCGATAAGCTCGGCTATCCTTCGTCATCTGGTTATATCCAGGCCTTGATTCGCGCAACTTCTCATATTGCTGCTATTTGCTGCAAATTTTGGTATTTAGCGAGATTTTCAGCAATTCTTATAATGACCATTGGATACCATGAGACCATTGGATGGACATGTATTTGAGCGAAAATAGACGGCAATCACATGAGCTTTCGTTGGTACGAAGAGCACAATTGATAGGCGACTTCCGGTCATTTTCCATTCTAATAGACTATGGTTAAAAGGATTGGCTTCAGAAGTTGAGGCAATAAACCAATGAATATATCTTAATTCAGTTTTCCTTACTTTGTTGTATGCAAATAGGCGAAAGTAAATGGCTTCTTTTTTATTTTTTATAAATATTTTTAATAAAAATTTTAGAAATCGGAAATCTTTCAGGTTATTTTTTGGATTTTCTATGAAAATCATCGTACTATTCTTTTTTTCTTTTTTTACCAAAAAATATCAAAAAACTAAATTTATTTAACATTTTTTTAAATAATTTTAATTTTTGATAAGGTTGATAAGCACACAAATCAATTATATTTTAACATTATTTATTTAAATTTCGAAATGCATTTTTACAAATTTCATTTTCCCTAATTTTATCAATTGAGTTAAGCATTTAGATAACAAATAACAACATATGACTATAATATGATTCTCACAGCTAATGTTTGAACTTTTTTTAAAAGAAATTTATCTATCTTTTCATTTTTTCACCTATATACAAGGCCATCTCCTTTATGAAAAATCCCAACTGATAATGAAATGATAAGAATCTCTGAAGAGATTCGCTTCGCATAGGTTTTGTTTTTGATTTTAGAAAAATATAACAAACTACGCTTAAAATGAAATGAAAATGTAACTTCATTAAACAACTTTTAAATATTTTTTATGCCTTTGGGGCATCAAATTTCTAAATTCATAAGCCTAACTTCTAAATAAATAAATGATAATAATAATTAACATTTTGCTATAATCGATAAGATTTCATTTCTAAGGAATTAATTAAATTAATTTTAAATTCGTCCTTAAATTATGATTTCTCTTCTTAATAATTCATTCAGAATTTATTTTTAAGTTATGGATTTCTTATTTCCAAGATTTGTAGGAAAAAAATTTTTTTCTAAAAATTTCCTTTCCTTAAATTAAAACTACAAATCTGTAACGATGATACGTCATTCTGCTATAAATCAGAATAGCATTAGCTACTTTCATAGCCACTTCCACTGTGACAATTAAACTAGAAAAATAGTTTCAACAGAGCTGATCTCTGATGTTGTAAGAGATTTTTGTCCAGAAGAGCGCATTACTTGAAATAAAAGTTCGCAGGCCTCTAATAGGTCTCTAGTAATAGAAGATCCAAGGCCGAGTCATAGATGGTCGAAAAGTGATTTTTTTAATATAAAATATAGTAGAAACTTGTTTATTAAATTAGATTATTAGACTATTTTACGCCAAAAGTTCCATATATTGAAATTGCTTATATGTAATTTTGCATGAATATCATAGGCTCCATTTATATAGCTGCTGAAAATCATTGATTTTCGCAAAACGATCTTATTGTAATCTTATAATCAATGGACCTTCTTTCTTCTTCTTCTAACAACTCTCACCATTACTGATTAGGTTGGCTCCAACGGCTACAAGGGTAAGACGCTTCCAAGTGCTGCGGTCTGATGCCATCGTCGACAGTAATAGAAGCCATTCCCTTTTCCATCGTTTAAGTCCATATATTTCTGATCCACCTACACGTTCAAAATCTTTCTTGACCGTATCAGTCCAGGTATTGATTAAATATGTCAGGAAATTGCTTAGCGATAGAAACGCAGGTGAAATATCAGCATCATCGAGAAAAATGCAAGCAGAAATGTTCGGTTTAGTAAATTAGTTTTTTGAAAATATTGAAGTGCTTCAATTTTTTTTTAAGGGTCCTCACCATTACTGGTTAAACTTGTTTCACTGGTTTGTCACATTACGAGGGGAATCCCTTGGCGATAGAAATACAAATGAAACACCAGCATCACTAGGATTTTTGTACAGGTTTACTCCTGCGGGGAATCGAGCCTCAGCATCGGCGCCCCCAATCGAGCAACAACCCACTGAGCCAATCTATCTCCCTTTTAAGTACTAATACTATTCATTGCCTTGTTTCATACCCGTATTGTAGGACTTTGCTTTCATTGCACTAGCGGCCGCACAAATTTAATGATTTTTAATAATTTCACAGCGTTTCCGCGATAGTTTCTCCACATGGAAGAAAGGTTGTCTTTTAATCGCTAACAAGACGAGACTGGAATTTCGTTTGTCCATTGTCCATTGCCTCCCCATTCGATATTAGAATAAACCTAAGATATTTGAAGTGTTATTTCTTCAAGCTCATTTATGAATACGGCCACTTAACCGCCCAAAATGAGTTTCGTCCTATTTGCATTAATCTGAAGTCCAATTTTTGTTGCATTTATCGATATCCATTGTAATTTTCTTGTCAACAAAAAGGAATACATCATCAGCATATTAAAACCTGCAATATTCTTCTATTCTTCAGTATATGCGACGGAATACGCTGAAATCGTTTAAATATTATAGGAGAATCCCCTTTTTTTAGGTCCCCTTTATCATAGGATCACTCGGAGAAAAAAAAGTACGTGTGGATCTTTCTTAGGGAGGGATAGGGAGTTTTAATGATAATAGCGATTACATATTTTTTGACACATTATTTTCTATGACAAAAATTTCAGATTCGAAATCATAAGGGAAAAATTGTGAAAAAAAAGTTCATGCAATTTTAAATTTTTGAATGCAAATTTTGCAAATGAAAATTTTAAAATTTTCGCTTATCTCCATTTATTTTCTTCTAAATTATCAATATTTTATATTGAATTATTAATAAATAAAAATATTTATAAAAATACAGCGTTTTTTCTCTTATTTTTCCGTAAAAATAAAAATTATTAAATCGAACTTTTCTATATTTCGAATAATCCATAATATCTACCATAATATTCGACTTAAGAGAACCTTCAATTTCGAATATTCAAGAGGATTCATTAATTCCTAATTAGCAAATAATATTAATAATCTTTTTATAAAATAAAATAAATTTTCAGAATCTGATTATTTTGTTTTTAGATGAACACGTAAAAATAATTCGAGAAAAATAAGAGAAATAAAATTATATTTACAAAAAATTACATTTCTTTTTTCGAACTCTTTTAATAAATTTTTATATAATTTTTGATTAAATTTTTGATTAATTTTTGATTTTGATTTGATTAAAAAATTATATATTATTCGACCGCTAAAGATTAAAAATTAATATAAAATGATTAAAAATATTAAATATTATAAATAATAAATATTTTGAAAATAATAAAAACATTAAATAAGATGATAGATAGATTATAATTTTTGTGATAAATATCGTATGATAAAAAAAAATATCTTTTCCTTCCAACATTTCTAATTTTGCTAGCTTTAATAGCTATTAGAATATGATCCCTTCACCAGGGAGTCATTTGGGAATAGAAGTGGTCAGCATCATTCAATTTTTTCAATTTCAATTTTTGACGACAAATATATTCCTGTCAAAAAGAATGAGTCGACCCTAATAATTCTTTACCTCAGCCAAAGGGACTCCGTTATTTATTTTATCCTTGTGAATCCTTATTATTTTTTTTATTTTATATTCCTAAAATTCTCAACTTAAATGATAATATAATTGCGAAATCGGCATAGACAGCTAATTTAGGTAACAAATGCAATTAAAATTTTTGAACAGATTTAATATAAAATCCCACACTCATTGAGATCATAAATGCTTATAAGACCGCATTTTGTGATGATCATTCCGATTACTACTTCGTGAACGTTGTCGCTTATGTCGTTCTTGATAATATTGATCTTTCCGAGAACTTCGATCACAGCGATGCTGATGGTGATGTTTAGTTCTGCAAATAAAATATTATAATTTTAAAAATTACGAATTTCATAGCAAAAAAAAGAATTTTGAAAAATAAAATTTCTTTTACCTTTCTTTTTTTTTTCTAAATCTTCCTTCTGACGACGATGATAATGATCTTGAGTGACGATACGCTGACTTTCGTCGCTTTTTCGTAATCTTCATCCGTTCTGATTCTGATTCGTCTACGCTTCTACTTTTTCCATCATCTTCCATCTGCTTTATTTATTTTATTTTATAAATTAATATTATTATTATTATAATACTCTGACAAATAATGAATGATAAATAAATAATGAATGAAAAAAACAAATAACTAAAAAATTAAAGCGTAAATTCTCAAATTTCAATTTTTCAATATAACAATTTTTCTTCTAATTTTCTATAAAATATGATTAATATAAAATTATAAAATTAATATAAATATGACTTACATAATTTATAACAAATGATTTATAATTACAAATATTATTAACTTATATTACTAATTTATTAGAAAAAAAGAATAATTTTAAAGTTTCAAAAAAGGAGATAATAAAAATTAAACTGACTTTATTCTCTCGAATTTTTGTTCTTTCATATTTAGATCGATTCATTTGATTCGTTTTTTCTAAAATTCATATAAAATTTAGAGAAAAAATCTATGAAAATAAAACAATGATATATAATAGCTTATAAATGTTTTTCGAAATTCAATCCAATCATTTTAATCCTTCTTTTGTTATTTATTATTGTTATTATTCGATAATTATTAAAAATATCAATTTTGAACTATTAATCCTTCTTTAATTCTTATTATTATTGTTTCAAAAATATTTATTAAAAATATAACCAAATGAATTATCTTCGTTTTTGTGTTAAATATATGTTAATTTTAAATATATTAAATTTCCACTGAATTAAAACATTATTGGTGATGCAATAAGAAAATTTTATATTGATTAATTTGCTTGAATTTTTCTGATTTTACAAAAATTTATGATATTCCGTTAATTCTTTTAATTAGTCAATATTTTTATATTTTTTTTATATAAATTACATTATATTTTTTTGAAAAGATTTGAAGAAAGAATTCCAACATTCCAATATTCATTTAATTTTTCCTAATAATGGGTTTGCTAAGCAGTATTGAGGTTCGCGGCAGGAATAAATCTATCAGAAATCCGAGTGATGCTGGTGATGATTCGTTCTTCTGCCTCCAAATGCCTCCTTGAAGCAACTTCAGAAATTTTTCTGATTCGAGGTGAGCTAAGGAAGCGAGTGGAAGAAAAGTGGTGACTTCTTAGAAAAAAGATTGCATTTCTTGGATTTCTTCTCCAAGACGACTGACAATTAATTGTAAACTTCTATGATGAATAATTTTTTTAGTATTACAAAAAACGTTATTTATAAGTTATAAAATATAAAAGTGCTGCAAATATTCTAACTGCGGAATGAATATTCGTTATTAAATAAATTCTTGGATCATTGATAATCTGATTTTAGATTCAACAAAATGTACTACAACTCGTATCCAGCAATTATATTTGCTATTATAATTATTGGTGTGACAGCGCAGGAAAGGATTTCCGATTTTAAAAATAAAAAGATCGTTCCACCAAGAATGAATCCTGCCATTTTCCCCGTAAGTTCCTTCAAAAAGCATACCTCAATGGCCAAACCAGAAGCCTAACTGCATTTTATTAATAAATCTATTAATTATTGAAATAAATTAAGATTAAATGATTTTTCGTAGAAAGGAAAATAAAAATGTGATCAGATCAATAGAAACAACAAAAACACCCCAAAAAAATATATTAAAGAATCCAAATGAAAAAATAAATCTTCAAAAATCTTTAATATCCTTATTAACGAATACATTTACAGGACCCAATATTCGACGAAAACGCACCTGAATGTATTCCATTACGTGAACCGTGCGGTTTTTATAGTTTTTCACTAAATGGAGGTGCACCACTGAAATGGGTAAAATCATGGTAAGTGCACAATAAATCCAATGATAATTGGAACATTAGGAACTAAATTAGAAAAATAGAAAAATATCTTCAATAGATTCCAGGAATGTTATCATAGATTTCTGATCAGAAGAGGGTAGGAACATCTAAGATTGCGCAGAACTCTCAATCTCTAGTAGTACCGTTCTTCGAGTTTACAAATTAGATAAATTAAGGATTAAAAAAATTTTGAGTTTTAATACGAATCAAATGTAATTACGAATTACAGGTGCCGTTGTGATGCAGATCACGAATGTGCATATGAACGAACTGATATGAGAATGAGAGTCTATCGGCAAGTATGCATACCACTACAATAATATCAATCAAAACATATCAATCTTACAATAATATACCAAATTTTGAAAAAATAAAATACCATCATAAATTTCCACTAAATTAATTATTTAATAGAAAATTATTAGATAGGAAAAAAAATAAAAGAAATGAAAAAAATGATAAATAATAGGTATTGAGCATTTTTATATTTTTCCTTATTCTTCTTATTTTTCCTTTTCTTCTTCGATTTTCTTTTCTCTCATTTATTATTTTCCTAAAAAAAATTCAAAAAAACACTAGAAAGTCCTATTTAAAAAATTATCTCCAACTGAAACTTTCTATAATATTAATCAGCCAAATATAAATATTACTACAAATAATGATGGTATTTGCTATTGTATAATTAATTATATCGTACAAAATCGTACATTCTATTTATTTAAAAGGCACTATAAATTATTAGAAATCTAATATTAATGGTACTTTAGAATTAGTCATTTTCTATCGATTATGGCAGTTAATAATATAATATCTTATTACGATGATTAATCGAAATTATGACAGGAGATATTTTCTCAAAAATATATAATCCATGTTGTAAAAATTAATCTGCACCAATTAATTGGTTATATTAGACTGAATTTTCCTTTTTTTTCTTTCATTATGATCTCGAAAATATTTACCATTGTATATTGTATTACTTAAACTATTTGATACTCTACTTACTAAATATGGAATTTTATAAACAAAGAATAATTCGTGTCATAATATTGATAAAATGATAAATGAATGATATGAATTTCGTGAAAAGATTAGATTAATTCGCTGAGCACGGAAGCGAATAAAATTATTTTAAATTTTTTAAAAAATTGTGCAAATAGAATTTTTAACGGATTTTTTAAAAAATTGTGCAAATAGAATTTTTTCTTCGATTGTTTCATTTAATTAATGCCTAAAAGATATGCCGAAAAAAAGTAAAAAATTGGTCTGAAAATATAAACAAATCTAAGAAATAGAAAAAAATATTAAAAAAAAAATCCAATAAACTAAAATTAACTTAATTAATTCAAAATCAAATAAAAATAATCCAAATAAATTAAATTAAGTTATATAAATTTATTTAAAATAAATTCAAATTTCGATATATAAATACACAGAAATTACAATTCTTTTTTCTGTAAAAGACCTAAAAACCTTAATTTTATATTTACAAAAATTATCTTAAATATTGATCATAAAATGTCATGTTATATTTATATAACTTATATTAAATTATTAAATTACACATATATTAAATTAATATTTAAATGAAGCTCTACTTCCCGCAGAAGTAAGTGAAATCCAAAAGATGCTCCCGATTCACCTTTACTATCGCCAAGATAAAACTCCTACTCCTCCTACCATAAACTTCTAGCACATTTGTCTAGTGAGATAAGCCAGCGGAGCGAGTCTAATCAGTAATGGTGAAAGTTCTTAAAAAAATATATATCATCTTAAATATTATATATTATATATCTATATAATATATAATTTATATAACTTAATTAAGTATAATATATAATATTTGTAATATTATGTATTATACATAATTATAATTATAATAATATAATATTTAATATATGTTTAATATAATATATTTAACATAATATAATATATATATATATTAGATATATGTAATATTGCATTAAATGTAATATTATTTTGTATTGTGTTAAATAACTAATAAGTAGTTAATTAAATGAACTGAAATATTTAACTAAGATATACAATTTCTATTAATATTAAATAAATATTATGAATTTATTATATTAAAATAACATATATGCGCGTTTAAATTGAAACTTTAAGTGAACAAAAAATATTTTTATATATTTAAATAATCTTTTTATTTTTATTAAATTTATTTTTGAAACCTGGGAGATTTTCAATAAAAAATTAAAAAGTCCGGAACAAATCGAACGAAAATATAGCAATAAATTTTAAATATTAATGAATTTAAAATGAATCTCTTAATCTTCACCTTCTGTTCGTTTCCATTTATAATTTTTGGCCACTGACTGCGAGAAATCCACATGTATTCGACGATCATCAATAAGAACATTATCCATTTTAAAATAGGCATTTTCGCAACTGGCCGCCTAAAGGAAAGAAACTGTTGAAAATAACAAAGACATTTTTTCGCAAAATTAATACCTAAAGATAAAATAAGACTGAAAATTTATATGCTTTGAAATCTGATTTTATTAACTTTCAGAAAAAATTTTATAAGAAACTGAGCTAGACTAGGTCAATATACAATGTAATGATTTTTGGATATTCAATTAAATTTGAAAGAATTCCAGAACTCATTAAATATTTATATTAAATGACTTACATCATCAAATTCAATGAATGCATATTGAAGCGAGGCACCAGTACGCCAATCGCGAATCACTTCACAACAATTAATTTTCCCAAATCGAGAAAAAATAATCTGAAGGTCCTGCAAAGAGATGGCAAATCTCTGTATGAAATCATTTATGAAATTTTTTGCAAATTATATAAGATATATTTTAGAAATTTAAGGGTGAAAAAAAATAAAAAAATATAATTAAAACGAAGAAAATGCTCGAAAAATTTAAAAAAATATAATTATAATGTTAAGGAAGTAAAATAATAAAAAAAATGTTGAAAACATTAAAAAATAATTATAATAATTGAATGTAACATTACTATAACAAATAATTTTAATGATATGCAGAAGATAATCGAAAAAATACTTCATCTGTAGTGACTGGGTTCAATTTACAAACAAACAGGACGTTATCTGGAGGTTTTTCATCAGCATAACGTAAATCACCAACCTAGAAATAAAATAAAATTCTAGAAATAAAATTTAAAACAAATTGTACAAGCAAATTAAAGTAAACTCATTTAAGTGTAATTAATCGATAATATATACGATTTGCAAGTCATAAATACTTTAAAAGATTCAAGGAAATATAAGTAAAGCAATAAAGCAACGATAAAAAAAAATTCAATAAACAATAAAAAATAAATTGTACCATTTCAAGAATTTGGGCCTGAGCAGCCATATCTTGATCTTCCATTTCTTTTTTAATTTGCTCTTCAGTTTTTCCTTCATCTTCATTTATTCGTTCATCCAGAGCGATTTGTGATGACTAAATTAAAACTTTGTTTCAACATTAGAATTTGAAAATCATAATTAAAGGCAAAATTTTAATTTTATAGCAAAATAAACGTAAAATTAACCAATTAATAAAAATCAACAAAAAGAATAACATTAAAAAGGTCCATAGTTGGAGAAGGTGAACGGTCGGGAAATTTAAGTGGTGGATCATCAAAAGGATCTTCAAGAATTATTGTATGTGCGATTCTAAAAACAAGAGAGAATTCACAATTTTTATAAAAAAAGCAATAAACTGAATCACAAAACTGATAAACTGATATGAAATCACACACCTTATATCGCGATAAGGTCGTTTGTGTTCGTCGCATATTTGCTGATTCAACTTTTCGAGCGTTTCTAACCCTTCAGTGACTTGCCCAAATATAGTATGCTTATCATCCAAGTAATCCAGACTATCAGCTAAACATATTGTTAATTACAATCGTATAATCTCTCTCTATGCGACAAATACTAAAAATGATACAAATAAACGATATCTAGAGACCAATGATGATTTCTGAATTTTTGAATAGTTCAATTTTTTCTTTATTACTAACCAAGTGTTATGAAGAATTGGCTTCCAAGCATGTTCGCTCCATTATTAACCATAGATACAAGACCCATTCGAGTATGCCTCATCTTAGGAACAAATTCTGGCTCAAAATAACGTGCCTGATCACCATATAATTGCCTATGAATAAAGAATATAAAAAAAGAACATCAAAGATTATTAAAGAAAGAAATAAGGGTGATTCTAAGTTTACAAAAAATCAAATATAAAATATAAAAGGATACATATTTTGCTTTAAAATATTTACTTGAAAATTGATTCGCCTCCTCGACCAGTTCCAGTTGGATCACCAGTTTGAGCTATATAATCTTCCTAAAAATAATTTAAAAATGATTATGGCCTCATAAAACTCAGCTATGAAAATTTTCAGTATTTCTTTAACAAAAAACTAAAAATTTCCGAAAAAACATTTTTTTTTAAAGTGACAATAAATGATGGATTGCAATTTTATAAAAAGAATGGATTTTTTTTGAAATAATAAATATTAAATTGATAGTTTTAGAGGTATAAAACAAAAAATATTCACCTCAATAGAGTGAAACTGGCAAAGATTATAATATTTCATTTTGCATAATTTTAGAAAGTTCAAACAACCTGTAACATATCAAGAATATATTATGAAAAAAAACTGTAAATTATTTTTTCTTATATTTAAATATAAACTATGTTATTAAGGTATTTCCAACGAGTAAATTAGAACTGTAATTTTTAAAAATTCTTCAAATTCTTTATTAATCATTGAAAACTAATGAATTTCGAAAAAACACTAAAATATTAACTTACATCTTGGACGTTCTTTGACAAAAAGGTCAATCACCAAATCTCCCAATGTTGTTTCGATCAAAACTGCCATTTGGATGATTAAAATAATGAAATAAATAGTCCAATCCAAAAATCTAAAATTTGATTGCGGAGTTTCGAACTTAAAAGAATAAAGTCTGGCGCAAAGAAAGTAAGATAAATAAATAAAAGATTAAAGTCATCAAAAAAGTTGAAATAAAATAATCATTGATTTCAAAATTTCCTACAAATAAACAATATGAACCATAAAGAAAAATAGAAAATTTATTGAAATAATGAAAATGATATTAGACATAAGAAATTGTTAAGACTATTTCAATACAAAAATTTATTGATTAATAAATATATAAAAATCAACATCTATGTACAACGAATTTCAACTTGTCACTTGGGACTATGAAATTTTTTTTACAAAAAATGGCCCTTTATTGTCCTTCTCCTTTATCGCTTTGACGATAAGATCGTACCATTCATCTCTTATTTCATCCCAGATTAATTCTACTTGATGAGCTTTTCCATCTACTGAACAAACAACTATTTCGCCCGAAAATAATTCAATTCCATCCTAAAACAACAAATTAAAAAAAGATGAATTGAAGTCGCATTATTTTCTTGAAACAATAGAATTGCCAAAACATTTTTTATTTCAGGAAATGAAAGAAAAAAAATTTACTTCCTTAAGCTGCAAATTTAGATCGAATTTGCGTAATTTATTTGCTATTTCTTCCCAATTAATATGTTCCATTTCTATTATTTCACTGAATGAGATTGTATGTATGTTAACTCCAAGCTGTTTTGCAGCTGTTTCAGCTGATATTACCTCAAGTTGATTGGACTGAAAATGAAATAGGCAAGATTGAAGGAAGTAACACATCTGACAAAAATATATCGGATATATAAAAATATATCAACTTACTCGTTTTTCCATAGTAAAATAGGCATTAAAAGGACAAAAGCGTTTGCATGGTGAAGGACTATATGAAATAGTTTTTTCTATCAATTCAGATGGCACTTTTATATATACATTCAAAGGAGTTTCAATAATCGCTGTTTCTCCGTTTGCTGGTTTAAATACTTTTAATTTGAATTCCTGAACAGCAACTAATCAGATAAAATATTTGTGAGACAGGTGGAAAAAACTTTTGCAAACAAAAAGAAAACGAATGTTATTAAATATATTAATTTTTAAAGAAATGAATTTGAATTTAATGTTAATTTCATGTTAATGCCAATCTAATTTTTGCTGATTTAAGCTTATTTTATAAAATAGAACCACAATACTAAATTAAAATATTATTTTAGAAATGAACTAACTTTTTCAACTTTTTCTTTCAAAAATTCCATTTTTAAATCTTCACCATGCACAAACATAACATTTTTAGGTTGACAATCACGGATAAGCTAGAAGAACTTATTATCATGATAAAGATTAATTAATAATTGATCCTATCATCCAATTTTACGTTATAATTAATTCACACATTAAACAAATTGGATAGGCGATAGAATGGTATGGTCTTACAATCATAAATTATCATTTAATGTGAAATGTGAATGGATCATGGGCTAGTTATCCATATCGGAATAATTCTCTGGTGAAAGGACTTCACCATAATCAATGGAAAAAAAAGGAGAATGAAGAAAAAAAGGATGAAGAAAAAACTCAATAGATAGGCTAAAGCGTTTCGATAATTAGTAATTTATGCCCTTATTTATAAATAAGTGAGAAAAAAGTATTAAATGAAAAAAAATTACATATAAAAAACTTTTAAAACTTCTAAAAAAAACTGTAATAAATAGTTGCACAATAATTAGAAAGAAAAAAATTAGAACCAACCTGCATTATTCCTTTTGCATCTGCATGGGCACTAAACGACATATATTCCACTGCCAATTTAATTTCGTACTAAAGTAAAATAGAAGTGAAAAATAAGAAATTACAATATTAATGATATGATATACAAATGAGCATTGATACGATAATGTACGATAAAATAATATACCGATTTTCCATCGATATCAATTTTCCTCATGCCAGCAATTACCTTCGCACCAACTGTTCCAGCGACACAAAAACCAGGCATAATCACCATATTTTTTTCATCAGAACACCATCTTTTGAAGACTCGTAATGACTGCCCACTATGTAGCATACCTGTAAGGTATTATATATATAAAACAATAGAACAATTATTGTAGTATTCTGGTTTTAATTTATCAGTCGTCATGAAAAAATACCTGGTGTGCTAAAAAGTACCATTGGGCCAGGTAAATCTCCCGAAGCATTATCATAAGGCCTTATATGTTTGAAATCAAACATATTTCGATCAACAAAAGTTCGCTTTATCTTCTCATTTGTCCAATTTATGAATAATCGATAATACTAAAATAAGTAATTTCTAACTCGCTCCATATATGATTATTTTTTATATATTTTTTCGTCATAAATTTGGAGACAAAGAAAAAACAATTAATACTGAAAAATCATAAGATCATAAGACATTTTACAAAAAGAAACTAAAATTATACACCACATATACCTGATTGGCCTTTTCTGCAAGACCTTGCGAGAAAAATATGGGATAAGTGAGATTCATACGTTCCCAGTATGACTCCAGAAGTATGCAAAGCTCTTGAGCTCGACCCAAAGCGAAAACTGGTATCAATACCCAAAATGAGGAACTAATTTAAAAATGAAAGAATGCAGAGACAAAAAATTAAACTGAAATTGATATAACTAAAATTAAAAAAAAAATCAAAATTAAAATTCATGAAAGAATTCACTTTTCCGCCATTTTCCATGCAGTCGTGCACTTTCTTCAAAAAATGCCGTTCACGAGCACGCTTGGAATCTCTGATAGTTGTTGCATAAGTACTTTCAGATATTAGTAAATCAGGCTTTAATCCAGGTTCCACACGAGCTGCACCCAAATGTCGATCAGGAGTTGAATTAAAATCGCCTGAAGTACAAATATGATAATTTAATATGATAAAAAAAAGACAAATAGATCGATGATTTTGATATACCAGTATAAAGTAAACTTTCGGAGCCAACAGTAATATGGAACATCGCAGCACCAAGTACATGACCCGCATAGAAAGCTCTAATAGACAATTTACTATCAACATCAATTTTTTCATGCAAATTAACAGCTGTTACCTGAAATAAAGAATTTAATTGTATACTATCAAAGCTGTGATTATCCAATCACCAAATCTATACCAAAATTCCATACAATTTAATTTATCAAATTTGTTAAAATTAAAACAAACCAAAAAGCACCTTTTGCATGCAATTTTTAATCATTTGAGATGTGAAGAATTTTGAATTACCTTTTACTTCAGTTTCAATTTTGCGGTAATCTTCCTATAAGTAAAAAAATTTCGAACATAAATAAATAGAAAGTAAAATATTTATTATTTTTATAGAAAATTTTTACTATTCTTTTTTTTAAATTAACATGAAAATTTTTACGGAAAAAAATAATAAACGAACGAAAAATCCGGAAATTTCCCTTCAATATATAGCATATAAAAACATATAATAATACAAAATAACGTATAACAAAATTAAAAAACATTAAAAATTGAAGAAACGATAAAAAAAAACCAATAAGACAGGCACAATTGCCTTTGTTGGATATGTCATATAAATGGGCCCATCATAACCAACAACTTCACTCATATGCGGCAAAGATCCACAATGATCTAAGTGAAAATGTGATATGATTACGCAATCCAAATAATCTGTTAAAGGTCCACCACCACTAATAAATCTAAAATGACTTATTTTTGCTTTGCATTATTTAATATTGTTTGAATTCTAAATATTTTAAAATAAATTAGATATTTGCATTCCATTTTTAAATTAAAATTAAACATTAACAAATATTAAAGATAAAGAAAAATGAAAAAATTTAAATAAAAAAAATGCTTTCTGAAAATAAAATAGAAACAGAAATTAAAATATTTATTTTTATAAATATTTATGAAAATTTTTACTATTCTATTTTTTTAAATATGAAAATATTTACGAAAAAAAATGATAAACGAACGAAAAATCCGGGAATTTCCTTTCATCCTGATAACCCATATGCATTCCACAATCCAACATGATATTCTTTCCACCGAGCGACACTAAGATACAACTACGACCAACATCTTGTCCAGCTCCAAGAGGCACAACCTTTGATATTTATTTTTGGAAGAAAAATTAAAAGAAAATGACTGTATCGAATGATTCACCGGAATTAATCGGAAATATTTTTTTATAGGTGAAAAAAATAATCTAAAAACTGAAAACGCCGAAAATCTCAAATGATGCGATAAAGAACTGAACGTTTGAGCGGCTCAGAGAGATATGTGTATGGCTCTAGTTGATGGAAAAGCGAGTGAGAAGAGTTAATTTCAAATTGAATACAAGCATCAGATAGCCGAAGTGCGCAAATGTCTCGCAATGTCTCGTGCAAATGTCTCTTGCGGTAAATAAATAATGTAAATTGGAAATAGTTAGGAAAAGAAGAAAAAATTTACTTTTATTTCGGGCATTATTCGATTAATTTCCTTTGCAAATATTTATTTAATTTTTCACTCGAAATGTTGAAAAATTTTCCTTAAAAAATGAAAATTAAATTCAAAAAATTAAAAATGAAAATAAAAAAAATAAAATATAAAAATTGAATAAAAAAATGAATATGAAATTTTCTTAAAAATAATTTAATAAAATTATTTAATAAAATTTAATATTTAACAGATATTTAATAAAAATAAGCAATAAATTTCCATTTGAAAAATTCCAATAAGAAATCGAAAAAATATTTCTTTCTTTCAGGAATTTTTTAAATTCGACACTTCCTTATTTATTTTTAAAACTATTAAAATCCCAACTATAGCAAATGCAACTTTATTCAAAAAAAAATCAACCCTAAATCTAAAAAAAAAAATATTTAAAAAATAATAAAATAATAATAAAAAGTAGAAAAAATTTTTTGGTCTTGAAAAGATTGTATGGTTACGGTGTTTCCTTTTTTCGATATGTTTTATTAGTACAATTTTTTTCTAATGCAGTTTATCTTTTCTGATTAATTTAGTTCAACTGGTGTGTGGAACCAAACCGGTTTTGCCAAGTAATCATTCAGTGGTTGTCGGGTAAATCGCCAATGTCACCGGAATTTTTAAACGATAAATTTCCTACTGTTGAGTTTATAGTTCCAACAGATTTATTGCATTTATTATTTCATATAATAATAAAATATAATAAAAATTCTATTTGATGATTTGTGGTGAATTTTGGAATTTTGGTATTTCGTGATAGTTGTTTGATTTAGTAGCAATCATCTCGATTTCACTTAATTTTTGAATTTTTAAGTGTTTAAAGATCCGCGCGATTAGTTAAAAAGTTAGTTTTATGGAAATCGGATGATAATTTCAGTGCAACTGTGGAGATCCTTTTTTTCCACTTACTTTCATTTACTTTTACTTTTATTTTTATTCTTTCATATTCATTCATTTTTACTTTTATTTTTTGTTCTTTTTTTTTTACTCTTATTTTGACTCAAATTTCTGCACATTTTATTGCGAGATTATTCACAATAATTTTATACTAAAATTAATTTTCGATTGGTACCAAAATTAACGAAAAAGGCGTTTATATTCTTACAAATATTAGAAAAAATGATTTATTTACCACTTTGCTACATTTCCATTTGAATTTTTTGTATATATTTGGTTTTTTTTTTCTTTTTTCTCGTTTTATATTGATAAATCACCAAAATAATAGAAATGAAAAAAATGAAAATAAAAATGAAAAAAATAATAGTAGAAAATTAAATATGCAATCACCAAAATAAATATTTACGAGACAAAACTAAGGATTTATATATTTTGTATGTTTTAATAGGACGCATAATATAGATATAAATTTCCTAAAAATTTACTAAATTTGTATCTAATAAATTTTCAAAAAATTTGTAAAATTTCCATGTTTCATATCCGAGTTTTTACTAATTTCAGGCTGATTTTTGGAAAGCATTAATTGAAAAAGTTTTATGCGAGATAGAAATGTTTCGCAAAACGAAGAGTCGTACAAATTTGCGGCAACGTTTGATGCAGAACGATGATACGGAAGATGAGCAGCCAAAGAATGGTAGCGTAGTACAGCAACAACAACAACCGCCATTAAAGCAAAATCATTCGGAAAAGGTGAATAAAACGACGGAAAACGAACCGCCTGTGGTAACAAAAACGAACAATTTACTCAGTTTTGACGATCTTGAAGGTCGGTTAATTGCGCATGTTGATTGCGATGATTCGCAGTTATTTGCGAGACATGTCACCACGACATCTTATTAATTAGTGTGGTGGATTTCATCATATTTTTTGGAATTTTTTTTTGTATTTCGGGCAAATTGTCGAATTGATTATTACGGGGCAATAAAAATTATTTTTGAATTCTGCATTGGCTAAAGTATCTGTTTTAGTCAAAAAATTTCAGTTAGCTTCATTGAGCTGCATTCTATCATTCCAAATCATTTTGTGATTTAAACAAAAAAAAATTACCAAATTTTGATAAGGAAAATCGGTACGATTGTACGAAGTATGGAGGAAAGGAAAAGGAAACCATCAATAGACCAAATAACCGAAATTTATTAATTTTTTTCAAATTTACTGGGCCTTTCAAATTTACTTTAGAGAAAGAGAACAAATCCTCGAACTCATACTTTGTTTTTATGGAATTGCTTCGTAAAGCTTTTCCAAAGTAAATTATTATCGTATTTAGTCGAGTAATTTCAACCGGAATTGTGAATACTCTTTAATTTTTTAATTTGATTATTTTTCAGGTGATGACGTTACCGATTTTAAAATAAGGAAAAAAGATCACAACAAACGATTGGAAAAATTGGCTCGAAGGGCGAAACATCTACATAATAAGGAGATTGATTTGAATTATAATGATGATGAAGCTTCAACAATTGTTTTAAAGGATATCAAAAGAGAAAAGTTTTCACCATCTGTACATCAAGAGAAGGAGGAAGAAGAAAAGGTACAAATATTGTTCTAAATTTTTAAATTTTTGGCCTTTATTCTTTATACCAAATATACTAAACCGGATTAGTATTTGATATGTTTCAGCCATCATATTCGAATGAAAAATTATTTGATAAAGCAATTGTATCGGAAGAAGATGACACTGTTCGAAATAAATTTTCAAATTCTTTTGCAGGTTTCTTTTTTGATCATTTTTAAGCATATTTTCAAAATAAGTTATTATTTTGTATATTTTTAATATTGTTTATAAAGTTTTATTAATTTTATTCTGTCACTATTATAATTAATTTTCATAATCAATTTGTCCTATAAATATTTTTATAGGGCAAATTCCGGATGCTCAAGCAGTTTATGAAGCTAGAAAGAAACGAGAAAAATTGCGTCGTATAGGTGCAGAAGGCAGAATACCCATTGATGATGTACAACGGCTGAATGTTAGTGATTTAGTGATTCTAATTTTTTCATATTTTATTGTATTCTCTGATGTTAAATTTTTCGTGCATTTAACCGCTTGGTTCTCTTATATCGGTCGTCTTTTTCAGGATAAATCTATCGCTCGGTCGCGGTTGGTTCGAGAAGACGATAATGATATGAGCGATGAAGAAGATGCTGGCAGGTATTGAATAAAATTAGTTTTCTTTTATTTTTAATTTAATTTTAATTTATCTTTTATTTTATTTATCTTCCGTAGTATAAAGCAAAAGCAAAATTTAATTAGAATTAATTGATATAATAATTAATTAATTAATTCTATTGATGTTTTCTTTTTTTTTATTTTTCCTACAAGCTATTTTTAGGTTTTATTCTTCCAAATCTCTATTAAAAAACGAAGAAGAACGCCGAAGGAATGAACAATCAGAATTTTTGGCTGTTGAACAAGGAGGTACTTTTTTTTGATATTTTGCAGAGTCGTATGCATATAATTTCTGTATTATTCCATAAATATAATCAACAATTCAAATCTTACGAATATTTTTCTGCCTCTATTTATCTGTTTTGCATTTATTTATTTATGTGATATCGATAATAGATGATGAACAATCTGATGAAGAATTGGCAAGATGGGAAATTGAACAAATGAAAAAAGGAGTATCCTCGAATAAGGTTTTTTTCAAGTTTTTAAAGTTTTCTGTTTTATTATTAAGTTCTGTTTTATTATTATTTTATGCTAATATAGATTCTTTAATTCTTTTCAGTGATTTTTTTTAATGGTGGCAAAAAATATTTTGAAATCAGTTGAATATTTAGGTGGAAATGCTTGAACGCGAACGTGAAAGAACGGATTTTATGAGGCAATCTATGATGCTGCATTATGAAATACCTCAGGAGGATCGCGAAACCTTACCTATGGATATGGACTTGGATATTGATGTCAATGATTCACCTTTGCTAAATTCGTCATCAGGTGCAGTATTAAAAAATGTTAAAAATGTTTAAAATGTTTATGAAAAAGGTTGAGAATGCAGTAAATTCCAAAATTGAAAAAAAAATGAAAGAATTTAAAAGTTAACAAATTAGGAAACGAAAATGTAATGAATTAGCATTTTTAAAACAAATGATTTTTCCCATATAATTTCGTTTTAAAACTAAAATTAGAAACTATTAACTATTATTTATATCTAATTTGTTATAATAGTTAATAAGTAGATTTTAATTCAAGAATTTTCATTTAATGAATTTTTAAAAAATTTCTTCAAATGGCATTTTATTTTGTAAACAGGGTTTTTATCCGGCAGCGCAATGAACATAACAATGGATGGAATCTTCTCAAAGTTGAAACAACAGTCAGTTTTTATTGCCTGGCTTATTTTTTTTGTGGCTAGGCAAATCGCAATTTTAGTTTTATTCTGTTTGAATTTAAGTTTTGCTTAAATTTAAGTTTTAATGATTTTTTATCATGCTTTTCCAGCATTGTTAATCGGGATGAGGCACTGAATACAAGAGAAGCAGAATTAGAAAAAATTGAGCAAAATATAAAAGAGAATAAAGAATCGATAGCTGCACTTGAGATGCAGAAACCTTTATTAAAGGATCGCTTTGATATGTATCAAGAAATGCGTATTTTTGTTCGAGATCTTCTTGAATGTTTAAATGAGAAGGTTTTCTAGCTTTAATTTTAATTGTATTTTTGTGATGAAAATATATATTATTAAAACTGTTGCGTATTATTTGTTCATATTATTTATCAATTCCAGTTGACTGATATCAAGAATTTGGAAACTCGAATGTATTCTATTCGGAATAATCGGACCCAAAGGCTTTTAAAACGTAGGCGACAGGATGTGCACGATGTCTATGATGAATGTTCGGCAGCTGCAGCTGGTCGATCCATTACTCGAACTCCCGATTTCGTGCAAAGAAGTGCAGAACGGGAAGCCAGAAGGTATATTTTTGGTTAAGATTTGCAATACTAATAATATTGAAATGCTAATAATATCTTACAAAAGATTGAAAGTAATATTTCATAGATTGTACTGCTGGCAAATTTTTTATTTGCTTTTTCAATTTTTGGTTATTTCATTGAATTTTTTAATGATTGACTTCAATTTATAGATTTTTCTATAAATTATGAGCCTACATGAGCCTAATCATTAACACTTCACTTATACACTTCCGAAGAGTTTAATCAAAATTTTTTAGAGCAAGGCGTCGAAGACAACGAGAAAATACATTGGTAGGAATATCACACGAAGAGGGATTGAGCAGTGATGATGAAGAAACAAAAACTGAAATAGTTGTACGCGAACAAGCTGTTGGTTAGGATATGTTGTAAAAATTTAATATTAAGTTTTTAAAATATTTTATCAACATTATTTTAGCTGAAATAACTGAGGCGACTCGTGCAGTTTTTGTTGATACTCTGGAAGATTTTTCACATGTGGACCGAATCATTGCGAGGTTTATCGATTGGCTGGCCGTTGATGAAAAATCTTTTATTGATGCTTATGTTCAGCTGTGTATACCTAAATTGTTATCACTGTTTATTCGATTAGAAATGATAGCATGGAATCCTCTCGAAGTAAAATATTTGTTTTTAAGTTACATTTTTACCAATTATACTAATAATTTTTTAGGGATTTTTAGCCATGTGATATATATAATTATTAAAAGGTTCAAATGAATTTCTTACATTTCACGACTCCAAATTAGTTTCAAGCCAGAGAAAGAAGTCCACACTGATTATTAAGCGATATATTTAGAATAGTAATTTTTAAGAGATGTTTCTTGCAGCATTTTAAATAAATTTGACTACATAATGAGCCAAGTTATTTTAATATTTTCGAATTTCGAAATGTTTTGTTTCGTAGTCTTTGGATATTTTAGAAAACCTTTTCGTTTTTCGATTTCTTCGATTTGAATTATTTATATTAAGGCTTATAATATAACAGAAAATTGAAATTCATATGTTCAGAATGATGAATTGTCATTGCATTCAATGCTGTGGTACCGAGATCTTATTGGTTGCGGTACTGAGAATGCAAATATTAATATTGAACACCCCGCTATTGTTTCTTTGATTCCTCTTTGTATCGAAAAGGTCGTTCTTTTGAGGATAACAGGTCTAGATATTTTCAATTTTCAATTTTACCTGTATATTTGACAAAATTTTTTTTTGAAGAGTGTTCACCATTACTGGTTAAACTCCACTGGCTTGTTGCAATTGAGCCAGGGAGTCCCTTGACGATAGAAGTACAGGTGAGTCGCCAGCACCACACGAAATTTTGAATTTTAGGTTTACTCCTGCTTGGAATAGAATCTCGGCATCGACACTCCAAATTAAGCAACAACCCAATGAACCATTCTATCCCCATTTGATAAAATTATTAGTTAAATTATCCATGCATTGTTTTATCACCTCTTTTAATGACCACTTTGTTTTTTATGGAATATTTTAAATTTCATATTTTTTTTAGATATTATTCGTGATCAGTGGGATCCGTTATCTATACGACAAACACAATCTCTTGTCCATCTTCTCGATACTTTGTTTGACGAATGTCCGACACTGGAATCAAATAGCCGTGTCTTACAACGAATACTTACAACTATCCGTCAACGAGCTCAAAATTCAATTGATGAAGATCTCTTTGTCCCAATATATTCAAAGCAGTGAGTTGGCATTATGAGAAAAGTGTTTCCTAAAGTATAGGCATGATTTGGCCACAGTTTTATAACAATGTTTAAAATAATAATCTTCTTTAAGAGCTGTCGAAAATCCATCCAGTGGTTGCAAACTCTTTTTGGATAGGCAGTTTTGGACTGCAATTAAAGTAAATGATTAACAATTCCTTTCTTTAAATTAAAAATTTGACATTATTAGAACATGGCATATAAATTGAATAATACTTTAACAAGTTTTTTTTTGAATTTTTTTCATCAGAGAAGTGAATTTCATTATCAAAGTCCTTTTTATCCTCTTTTTCTTTTAATAATTTTATCATCTTTTTCCTATTTGCTTGGCTCCGCTTTTTAAATTTACGGAGATGATATAAGGAGAAATTTTTTACCAGAGAGTCGCTCGGGTGGTCTTTAGCAATATCTGGATTTCATTTTCCAGAACATAGCATCACAAAATATACTGATGATGTAGTCTTTTTTGCTGACAGTTATAATGAAATGCAAATAATGCAAATAGACATGTTTCAACAACTGCAGCGAGAAATTGGATTCAAAAGCAATATAAATAAATAATATAAATAGAAAGTTTTTTTATATACAAGATGCTGAAGATAAAATATCTATTTTTATTAGTTCATTGCTGGTTGAGGAAGTGCCCGACTTTAGGAAGCTACCAGCCTTTGACCACTCATATTTAAGATACATTTTGATATGATTTCGAGCGGATAAAATGGCAAATGATCAAATTGCAAATCCATCCTCGTTCAGATACATCCTGAATTAATAATGTTATCACAAAGCGTCAAGCACCTTCGCTGGTTAAGGCACGTTCTGCATTGCCCACCAAGGGAGTTGACGGATATTCTGCTACCCTTGTAATGGTTAGCGCCAAATGCCAGGAGGGCCAGCCAAGACCTGGACTGATACAATCAGGAAAAATTTTGAACATATAGGGGGACCGGTAGTATATGGACTTAGTCGATAGTGGAAAATGGAATGGCTTCTATCACTACTAACGATGGCGTCGAACCGAGCAACTAGGAGCCGTCTTACTCTTATAGCCAACGTAGCCTGCCTAACCAGTAATGGTGAGTTGTTAGGAGGAGAAGGTGTCAAAGGAAGAGTAATCGATTCATTTTTATCTGAAGCAAATGCTTTTTGAAATGCTCTTTTTAATATTTGATCTTTCTCTAATGAATTAAAATATTATATTATGTTATATTTAAGCTAATGCGAAGTCTTGCTAATCTGTCGAAGATAATATCTGAAGAAGGTCTAAAAGAACTTTTGTTAGACGGAATAGTGAATCGCTCCATCGTTGTAGCACTACAATGCTCTATATGGTCAGATCCTTCTATGGTTCGTAAATGTCGTGCCATTATTAAATTAATACCACCTGAATGGTGGATCGATCGTTCTCGTCTATCAATACAATCTCTTATCAATATACTTAATCGAATCGCAGATGATTATAAAACCTCAAGCAGGCATGGTTTTTTTTTCTATATTTTCTTAAATTTATTAATTAAATCTTTAAAATAAATTCAAGCTCAGTTTTTAGGGAATTTTCAAAAGAAATTCGTAAAGCAATCAGTGGTGAAAAAATTTGAAATACTCATTGTTATATGTTTTCTATAAATATTATATGAAAAAAAAGTGCGATGAATAAAAGTATCAAAATGTTCAAAATTTTCATGTTGAAAGATTATCACTTTCTTATATTTTTGATATGTTTTGCAACTGTTTTTATGTTATTGAGTTGTATATTTATTATTTCGATTGCGAGTAAGCAGTATGGATTTTTGTATAAAAAATGAAATTTTTATTAATGTTAAGCATCCATTTCTATACACCTTTTACATGGTAATCTCGGGCGAAAACATCCCATTGAAGAAGATCAAGTGTGATGCCCGTTAAATGAAAAAAAAGAAGAAAATTTTGGGCGACGATTCATTTTTATGACGTTATAAGTTTTAAATTCGCGAAACAGCTTAGTCTGACACAGTAACTGAATATGAATTTATAATCATATAAATTCTGGTTTATATGATTCTATTTTCTGGTTAAATTCCCTTCTGGTGATTATCAATTATCAGTTTGTTAACAGTTGCAAGAAGTACAATTTAGATTATATAGTGTTGGTAGTATTTGATGGTAGTATATTTCGTTCAAAAATCGTTCATTGTCTTGTTAAATAAAGAAAAGAAATTTTTAGTTGCCTTGCACAAATTGCATGTTTATAGTGTTTGTATAGCAGTTGTAAGGCTAGGCCAAACGCCAGTTTCTTAACATTTCCTAGTTTCTCGATAAATTGAAATATAGTGCGAGTTTGAAAAAAATGGAATGGCCAAGGGCAGCAATCGTAATCGACCGGTTCGAACGAATGGCTAAAGTCAATATTCGAGAATTGCGAGAACTTCATCGAAGCATTATCCAGGTTCTTCTTTTTTGTTTTCCGCAATATCTACTAATCACTATTGAATAAAGCTAAATTTTGCAAATTTGATTTTATTTATTGATATAATTTTATTTTATTTATTTATTTTTCAGCTTGATTCAATCAATGATCAGATAAATGCAAATTGCGATCGAAGGAATGCTATGCGTAAAATCGATCGTCTTTTAGCTGAATTATATCAGATTCTCGAGTTAAGAAGTAAATTACGATTAGATGCTCAAGAACAATTCGATTTGCGAATTGAGCCAGTCAGATTACAAATTCAGGCTGCCGTTAATGCATTAAAAACTATTTGCACTGAAACTAACGTCAACAATCAAAATGGAAATATTTATAACGATTTATATGAGCAATCTACAGCATCAAATGAAGTTAGTTAGTTTTTAATTGATTTCAATTGATTAATTTTTTATTAATTTTGATGATATATTTCAGCAAAACGGACAACAGCAACAGCAACAGCAGCAGCAGCAGCAGCAGCAAATGGATTCATTGATGCTTAAAAATGAAGTAAAAATGAAGGCAGAAGAAACGAAAAGGCTGGCTTCGGTAAGAATTTCGGTGAACTTTTCTTGTTAAATAGCTCATTTGCAATTGTGGTTTATGATAATTATCAGCATTATCAGTACTATCAGTATGGATTATCGACACAGATAGTATTGAACTTGAAATTAATTAAATGAAATATTTGAAGAAATAAATTCTCATTTAATTACCATATTTTATATCAGTTCTGGAATTTCATTTCAAAAAATCTCTAGAATGTCAAAAGTTTTTTTTAAGTAAAAGCTTTTTTTTAATAGTTCTATTTCAGGATGTTGAAGATTTAAATGAAGTGATGATTCAACTGGGTCAGCTAGTATTTGTTAGTTTTTTTTAATTTTCACTTTTTTATTATTTATTTTTTAATTTTAGTTTATTTTATATTAATTTAATTTGATCTTTAAACTTAAGTACAAAATAGCAGAAAAAAAATTGTAGAATTGTTCATAAATATTTGTAAAATTTTAAATTTTGTATTAAATTTTATTAAATTTATTTATTAAATTTTATTAAATTTTGTATAAAACGTCAGAAATTTGCTCGAAACAATTTTTTTCAAAAACTTTTTATTATAGGCTCAACATGAAGCCGTGGATAGTATTGAAGAACATGTAGAGAAAGCTAAAATTGATTTATGTTCGGGTCATCGCAACTTGAAAAAAGCGCAAGCTTTAAAAAGTGCGAAATATCCTTTAGCAGCCGCAGCAGTAGGAAGTATAGCTGCTGGAGGTCCTGTTGGATTTGCCGCTGGATCAGCAATTGCTGGTATTTTTGCTGCAGTAGGTGGTGCCATCGCAGGTAGTGATTGATAAAAATTTTCAATTTTTCAAATATATAAGGTTTGTAAATACATAATAAATATAATAAATATAAACCAGACGACTGAGTAATCTATTCAAATGACTTCACTGCTTTTGAAATTACGTTTTTTCGTTGATTGGGAAGTATGAAATGGAGATAAATTCTAGCAAAAAGTATGGTTTTTTTAGGACTTTATGGTGGGCGATTATTTAGAAGGAAAGCTCAAGAGGATGCGAATTGCGATGGATGAGAATAAAAAAATTTAAGGATGGAATGGAATCTAAGGAACGAAGGATTATGATGGTGTTCGCGATTGATCATCATAGAAAATGTTCACTTATTTATTCAATATTAATTTTATTCGTCTTTTGCCGCACAATAATTCACTACTGGCATTTTCATTCCTGGCTACACTAAATTTTTTTCATATAACCATTAATTAAAGATTAAATGAAAAGGCGTGAAAAGCGCAAGTATATTTGCGTTGGAAAAGGCCTGTGGATAATTTTGCTCGGCCTTTTCATTATTCGTATCGTGTACGGTTCATAAATCGCTCTTGTTGGTCTAAAGAAATTTGTCATTTGGACCAATTTCTTTCATCGATCGAATTGAATTTGTGCAATTTTCTTTAGTTCAAAAAATTGAACGATAATCGATTTTTATATTGAATGATTAGGATTTGGTTCTTTGGCTCCCAACAACAGTAAAAAATAATTGTTCTGCTGGCGAGCTATTTGTTCGCGACCTCTGATAGATATTTTCAACCGCACCTATAGCCGACGGAGCTTCCTTAAATAGAATCGAAATGCTTACCGCTTATTTATTCACTGCTAGGCCTTATTCTTAAAGTTTCATGATTCTGTTCACCTCCATTTCCTATGACAAAGTGATCATCTCTAATTTTATTCTTCAAACTCTTAAACTATTAGCATAATTTTCCTACTTTTCCTTAAGTTGTATAGATCAATGTATGGAACGCAGGCGTTTTATTTTCCTCTTTCATTCAATGTTTTCCTCTAGATATTTTTTTAAAGCGCTGTCTAACAATAATTTCGTTGAAAAAATTTTATCAAAAATTCCTTATTTCACAAAAATACATAATTCTACCATTTAATCTCAATGTTTTCCGGGTAAAACTAACAACCACGTCGAGCAGACTTTCTGGGAAATATTTCCAAGAACTTTAACCGAGCTAATATCAACTTCAAGTCGAAAAACAACTTGAGAACACAAACTGCCTATTCTACCCAAATCACCTTTCATTTTACCACATTTAAAAATTTTCAGTCGCATTCACAAAGGTGATAACAATATTAAATATATAAGACAAGGTATTAAATTATCGAAGATCATAGACAAACATTAAGGTAAAGATATCACGAATTTGCACATTGTACGTTTTGAGTGTTACCAGTCATTTCATCATCTTCATCCTCATCATAGGCCTGGCGATGATTTCCACCATACCCTTTACTCTCATAACGATGTTCATCGTAAGGCATTAATGAAACTTCTTCGACATCTTCTCCTTCAGGCAATGGAGCCGACCATTTACGACCACCAAGCAAATGCTCCAAAAGCTGAAATGGATAAATTTTAAAGAATTGGCATTATATAATTAAAACACCACAGTGAAAAAAAACAGGTAAAACAAGTAAAAGAAATAAGCATACGCTATAATCAGCCACATCAGACAGAAAATTGTTTTCTGGAAATTCCACCTCAAATTTTACGATAAGCAATCCATACAACTCAGGATGGCGCTGGTTCGGCATGCCCAAATTTGGTATGCATTTGACCATATCTACAAATCATCCTATTCAGCAAAAACAAAAAGCAGAAAATAAATCAGATTTTGAAAAATCGGATTTTTCTTATACTGGCTCATTGGCTCACAGCTGGCGAATTTCATTGTAATATATTGTTAAAGATATAATCTCTTAAAAATGGTGCAAATAACCTGGTTGAATTATTTCTGAAGGATGAGAGGCTATAATAATGTTCTGGCCATTTAAGTGCTGGACAATTGTACTAAATCCGCACAGTGCTTCATTCAAAGATATTTTCCTGAATTCAGTAAATTTCCATTTATTAAATATAAAAATTAAAATGATGAACGAAACAGTTCAATGAAAAAGATTAAAAGTTTACCATTCAGTATAACAATTAACTTTTAATAACCCATCTATTTAATTATCAACAAAAATTATCAATTAATTATCGCCCCTAACAGCAAAAAAAGTCGAAAAAAGAGGAAAATATATTTTAAATTTATCAAATATTTTATAACTCCTATTTTTTTTACTTAATATTAGCCGACAAATGAGAACTAAGAAATGATAATATCCTACTTGTGCATGATAAGGTCATCGCCTTCCCTTTGGAAAACTTCATGTTCTGCAACGACAAGTATAATTATAACGTCTCCTGGCTCCACTCCGGGCTGAAATAAAATAAAACTTGTCGCAAAAAAAATTACAATAAAAGCGAATTCACAATACAAGAAATTAAATTTTCTACAAAATTTGCCCACTTCCTGAATTAGCTTCTTGCAATTTTGTGATACCTTACAAATTCGAAAGTTTAACTTTCAACCGAATCGGCTGATATAAACACTTTTCTAGTCATTTCTCAATTGTACTCAAGATTTTTTCTCAAGAGATTTCTAATAAATCAAGCCAGTCATTCAACCACGATTTTTCTTTTCCTCTTTAATCTTCATAAATGAACAGAAATGTAAAGTGGTATTTCCTTTGATATGCATAAGTAGGCAAAAAATGAATTGCAAAGACCATATAACCGAAAATGGTACAGTAATAAAATAAAATGACGATAATCATGAGTTTCGATATCTTACGCACTCCAGCTAATATCACGAAACAGACTATCACAACATTCCCACAATTCCACAGAAATAAAATCAAACTTCTTGATCAGATTCTCCCCGAAAGACAATCTTTTGTTCATGATACATTCCTGGTCTTACATGAACTTGTAAAACACGTTTCTCTTTTACAGTTCTCTTTCCTTGACAAGTTTTACATCGTTCTTTCTCAGGTATTTTATATCCTAAATGAATGAATAATTTATTGCAAAAATTTTCATAATGTAATTTTAAAAAAGAATTTTAAAAGGACAACAAAAAACAAACCACTTCCACTGCAATCAGGGCAATTAACTTGCATTGACTGCAACATATTAGGTCCAATCACCTTCATTATTTTTTTCACGCCATTACCATGACACCCCTCACAAGTGTAATTGGAACCTTTACCACCCTTTCTAAAAGAAAACAATTTAGAAACAAAAAATGATCAAAAAATGAGCGAATCGATTACTGGCATAAAATGAACCACTTCTTGCATTGGATTTATTTCACGCCCTTATTTCTATAGAAAAAGGCAAATGAAATGCCATGAACACAAAGTATTTCTAAAAAAGAATTTTATTTTATTACGACACTTTTATCTGGATGTTATTTGGATGGATATATTTTTAACATTACCCATTACAAGCATTGCATATGATTCGCCGCTGAAGCTGCAATTTAGAAGTTTTGCCATTGTACAAATCCTCCAATGTCACCTTTAGAGGATGAGTTAAATCTTGTCCACGGCGTGCGCGACGAGACATACCTCCACCGAAAAATGAAGCAAAAGGATGATCATGACCATCAAAAAGATTTGCAAAAAGATCTTCGGCTCCTGCGAAATTACCTGAAATTGTAAAAAACCATAATTTTAAGTTATATAATTTATAATATTCCATTATTTTATAGGGAACGAAAAATGCATACCACCTCCACCACGTTTAACGCCATCCATTCCATGCTCATTATACAACTCACGCCGCTCAGGATTACTTAGAACTTCATAAGCAAAAGAAATTTCCTTGAACTTTTCACCATGTGCAGGGTTTTTATCAGGATGATATTCTTTTGCTAGATGTTTATAAGCCTGAATTTTCATAATATGAATTGAAAATATTTAAAAGAATCCCAAACTATACAAAAATAGTATTAAACAAAACATATTTCCATGAAGTCCAGAAAATTTAAAAAGGTAAAATTCAACTTTTTTCCGAGAAACTATTAATCCACCTCTGAAAAAACCAGTTTTTTTCGTAAAGAACATCTTACAATAAAGAATCGATAAACCCCATCAATTTTCGCCCTTAACTCTACTTTCGTTCATCGCTCATCTTACAGAATAATAATTTATGTCCGAACAAATGAACCTTCTTTATTTCATCGGTTGTAGCACTTGGCTTGACATTAAGTAAATCATATAAAGTGGTTTCAACTGGACCATCACGAGAACGACCTCCACTACCATTCATACGAAAAAACATTATTGATGATGTATCTTATTAATGATAACTATATAACAATAAAAAATTTGACTCACTGAAAATATTTCAATTAAAAATCAAAATATTTAACATATTTATCGAAAAATTAAACGATATATCTATCGCTCGATTTTTTTTTTCAATCAATAATATGTATGCATATGAATTGCACTAATTTTCTCGCAGACAGATTCAAATAGGTGCGGATTTACGCAGAAAGAAAGTACTCATAAAAGCATTAACCGAATCATAAAATCACATTTAGAAGAAATAAATACCGCCATCCATTTTTTTAATGCATCCCAGCAAAGAAAAATTTACAGAAAAAATTAAACGATATATTTAATAAATGACTGAAAAGATTAAAATAAGGCTTGGAACCACACCAAAATTTAACGATTTGAAGAAATTTGAATTGTATGAATTATTCTTCGTCTTCCTATAGCAAGTGGCATTTTATACTCATTTTGCTTCAGTAAATCGAGATGAAGCGAGAGGCATTAGGTGAAAGCGAGCACGAAAAACGAACCATCCACATCCATCCGCACTTCACTTTTAACAACATGTTTGCTCAACTATTAAAGGAGACAAACAGGACAAAGACTGCTTGCGGGATTGCTTTTGTAAAAATTATTTGTTTTTCGTACAATGCAAATATTCACCCGAGGAAAAATTAAATGATAATAAAAAGTGAAAGAAAGAGAAATAACTTTACGCAATAAACGACTCTTTCACCTTTATGAAAAATTCCCACGTAAATAGTTGGGGTTCCAGCTTAAGAAGTATTCCCCCGATAAATATGGACCCAAAGTCCCCAACCTCACCTAACACCAATTCTACACTCGTCTTAATCAAAACCACAAAGAACCAACCAACACCTGCGTAACACTAAGAAGAATATGGAGAATCGAAATTTCCAGGCACTAGCTTACTGTAACTGAAAATACAATCGTTTCGAGACCCTTCGGGAACTTTTAAATCCTGTTGAGTCTATTCGATTCGCATGGTTTTTTTAAAATCAGGCTGGATGTTTTCCTTCTCTTTGAAATGGTGGGCAAATTGCAGCATGTGGACCCTTCCAGAGGTGCCAGAGGATGATTATGGGCATAATTTGAATTCTTATTTATTCTTATTTTATTAGGATGGGATTATTTTTAATGGTTGTTTTACGTTACATTCATTCAAAACTCTTTCAAATGGGAAAAATAAATATTTTCTATTTTTAAAACTTTAAAGTAGGTACATTTGTAGGGGTGAATTGTCGATGGCTTCATTGGGTCCAGAGGGGACAAGCTGCTTGCTGTAAATCCGCTTCACACGAACACAAATCAGGGAGTACAATTTGGCATTATGAAACATTTGCAAGTTTCATTGTCCAATCTAATATTCGAAAGAGTAGCAAAAGCCTTCTTTCTCTGGTTCCATGTCGCTTGGCAAGATATACATTAAAAATTAGCAAAATAATTTTTCAGCCTTTATAGCATAAAGATAGTGACGTCGAATCGAAGAATCGAACAACTTCGAAATGCGCTACTGTTATAGCCAGCGGAGCCAGTCTAACCAGTAATGGTGAGAATTGTTAGAAGAATAACCGAAAAATCAGAGTAAATCCTGGGGTGTCCATCTGCACCTCCATTCTCAAATGATTCTTCTTATATGCAGTAAATGGCGTTCGCGTATTTCATGCGCATCACTTCCTGCTTTAACAAATAATGTGCGAATCTGGTGCAGATTCACTATTAATGGTATGCAGTTAGTATTCCTGGTTAGCCTATTTTGGTTGGATATTAGTATAGCTAAGAATTTTTCGTTACGAAGCATTTGATAGTAGAAGGTAGCTTCGCAGACTTTTTAATGATAGGTTTACGTCAGAAGATAGATCCTTGCCTTTAAAGATAATTTGAATTACTATTTGGCTCTGCTGAGCCATCCTTCAGTATTAATGGCGAAAGTTCGGGAGACAAAAGAATTACTGATTGAGAAATATGCACAAAGTCTGGGGAGTGAATTCTAAGCTTTAACCGTAGTTATTTATGAATTTTTTTTTTTCGAGAGTCGTCATCAGTATTGGTCAGACCCGTTCTGCAAATCGCACTAGGCAAATATGCCAGGAAGGCCCTTGACGATAGAAGATAAGATTGACGATAGAATTACAGCTGAGTCGCCATCATCACCGGGATTTTGGACGGGTTTACTCCTGCGAGAGTAGAACCTCAGCGTCGATTCTGATTCCGAAATGAACAGCAACCCACTGAGCCATTACTCACAAGTTACTAATGAATCGTGGGAGTTATTGCATAAACTTATTGTTGACGAAAGATGAAAGTGGAAAATATCAATCTTTCAACAATATTGTTTGCTGGTGATATATGGTTGTTGATATATGCACATATTGTTAGCTGTACTGCATGTGTGAAGAATAATAGTCCATGCATTATTTTAGGATTCTGTCCATAGAAAAACGTTGTATGGTGGACATGACATTCTGCATCCATACTAGGATTTTACAGTTGACATCAGTTCAACCCATTGGGAATCGATGGAAATTTAAAGAGAGGTCAACGGATCTTGAAGACCCGATTGGAAGTCGATAGGGGGTCGATGGACAATCAATTTTTTTTTCAATTTTTATGATTTCTTAAAGAGGAAAATTTCTTAAAATTTTTTTGTAATGTTATTTTTAATTATGAAATAATTGCCAAATTTTTTTAAAAAATTTTAAGTAAATTTTGAATTCACTGAAAAAAAATGCAAGGAGCATAAATTCAAGAAAATTCAACATAAGTGCACCTCTGATAGTGTTGGAAAATTAAGTATCATCTATATGGTTGCTAGGAGTCGACTTGATGGCACATATTTATTATCATTAAAAAATAATGCGGATTCGAATAGTTCTGGCATCGAATGTTGTACTTCTTGGATTATTGATAATAATCGTTATTTGTGGATCCAAAATGGGGATCCGGAATAAATTTCCAGTGTATTCTAAAATGAGATCACTTAATTTTTATTGCCTTATATAAGAAATATAAAGAAAGATTAGGAAGATTATCTCTTAACATTTTTAATCCCGAAAGGATATCCTAGCACAGCCGATGAATTAACCATTAACCAGTGAGTTAATCAATATTATTGTAGTGGGAACGGTTTCCTGAGAATTACTTATAGCACACTGGTCAATAGATGAATCGGTAAATATATTAAAAAAATACTGTCCAATTGATCAAATGAATATTTGGAGAAACTGATTAATGAGTTCGTTATTATAGTTCTAAAAGAGAAGAAATAACGGAAGAATTTCTTCGTACGATCCAGAACGGAGTAGCCGGAGACTTATCCAATAACAGAATTTATAATAATTCTGAAAAAAATATAACAATATGAAATTTCTATTTCCGATATGGCTGCACTTTTATATGTTGGTTAACCTGCAATCATTGGGAAATGTCGCGATTTTCTAGTGCTTCTCAAGAACAGAGATATTCAAACAGGGGTGTTGGGTTCGACAACATTTACATTTATCAAATAAAATTGCAAAGAAAAGTTTATAAAATCACACTCAAGCTCGGCCAACTATCATCAGTTATCAGTTATCGTTATCAGTTATTAGCTATCAGTTATTATCAAATTTAAGACTGGTTTGTTCTGTGTTGAAATACAATAATTTTCATTACTCTAATGCAACTTTGTGTTGTTGAAGTATCATTTGAAACAATGTAAAAAATATTTTAAGATTCACTTCAAAGACCTTGAAAATGTGAATTTTACCATTTTGGACCATGCAATCTTTTTCGATACGAAATAGATTTTCCCTTATAAGAAGGATTAATTGAACTAGAGGAGGTTTTTTTTTCACCATTACTGGTTAGATTCGCTTCTTTTGCTTGTCGCACAAGGCAAATATGCCGGAATCGTCGATTGGCGACAGTATTACTAGCATCACTCGAAACGAGCAACAGAAATAGATTAAGTATATAGGAAAATGGCATTCTAAATAATTTTATACGAAAAAAATTTTGCCACAACGAATCACGCAAAGCCATCTCATTAATAGCTATAAATAAATAATTTGAGTTTTCTATATTTTTGCAGTTTTATTAAAAAAATATTTTTTATAATAATATTTTTATAATAATATTATTGCCAAATAAATATTTATAGAAAAAATAAAATTGGTTTTAACTAGGTGAATACCAAGAAATTTTTCTTATGTTATTTTTCTCGAATGAAAATCCCATAAATTTTTTTAATAGAAATCCAAAATAGTTCCAAAAGGATCGATTAGAAGAGGAGATGAGAAAAAATATTTTTCTCATAAGGCGAATATTCATTAATGAATAGATTTCTTAAGGTGGAAGAAGAAGAAGAAATTCCCATAAATTTTGCCAGGATCGGTCTATTCGCATCTTCCAGCTTAAGAATCAACCGTTTATCGACCCTTATGTAATCATGTGAAAAAGAACATTGTCCTCCAAATTCTTCTTCTAAGAGCTCTCACCTTTACTGATTAGGCTGGCTCCTCTAAGGGTAAAATGCTTCCAAGCGGCACGCCGTCCTCGACAGTAATAGAAGCCATTCGTTTTTCTATCGTCTAAGTCCATATATTGCTGGTCCGCCTATACTTTCAGAATCTTTTCTTACCCTATCATTCCAGATCTTCATGATTCCTTGATTGATCCACCTCACTTTTGACGTTACCCATTACATGGTTTAGCAAATAACAAAATATGTGTCAACTCTTGCTGTGGACGAAGAACGTACCCTAAGACCAGCGAAGACGACGTTCTATGATGGTGCTGTTAATGCAAGTGGTATTTGAACGAAGTGATCATGTGAAATTTTATCCATTTGGCCGTAAAATCTATTTTAGGCATGGTCAAAAGCTGATAGCTTTTTAATATCCTCCATCCTGATTGGGCAATAAAAGCGAACGAATCTATATAAATGGACATTCGTTTTTATGGTGTTTTCACGATTTCATAGCGGGAAATGCCGTAATCTGGACATAATTTCATTTTTTGTTAGACCATTTGGTACTAGAGTCCAAGGAATTTAAAATCGGGCATTTCCTCAATCGGCAATGCCCAGTTTATAGAAAGAGGCATTTTATCAGTCAGCTTGTACATTTGAGGCAAAACACTTTCGTTTTATTTATATTAACCCTGAGTCCGATTCTATACGATTTGTTGACATGTTGTTTATCATTATTTGCTCCAATCATCTGGTAAAATTTCTTTTTTCTATACTAGAGAATACATTTGCTTATGAAGAACGATGGACAACATTCGAAGAGTTCAGCCTGAAGATCATCTTCTCTTGGAGTTTTATTGGCCTTAACCTTATGGATAATGGATATTATTTCTTCTTCTGTTGGGGGCTCACAGTTTCAAGCATATGGTTCAGCGAACGCATCAGTTACATTAGAAGCAACAAATGGCGCCTCTTGGTTAAGTTTAGCCTAAAAGAATTCTTTCCATCTTATGAGGCTGGTTTTCGGCTCGAACCATTGCATAGTCAGATCTATAAAGATTGCTCGTTTCCGCACCGCAATAGAAGAATGGTGATATAATCTGAAATGTTGGTTCCACTAGACTAGATGTTTTCTACGATGCCTGAAGCAAGTATTAACAACAATGTTTATACTGTTCGGCATAATGAAAGCGTTCCCCATTGGCACACCGTTCTCTGATGCTATATTTGCCAATTACTGAGTTCATCGTAACGGCATCATAACCTACGTGCGCATTCCAATCTCCCTCGATTGTGATTATGTGTTTCGGTACAGATTTTGTTAACAATTGAAGTCCCACGCAGAATTTATCTTTATCCAGATCATCTACCGACAGAATTGGAGTATAGACACTATTGACTGAGATATTGCAGAACTTAAAATGGGCATAGGCTATACAATTGCTTACCGGTTTCCACTCAAAGCGGAATGGGCCTTATCAAATTTGACATTTCGTTCCGAGTTATTCGAAGCACCATAGTGATATAGCCAGTATCTCTGATCCGACCCTGGATTAATAATTACTCGGAACCCGAAGTGAGGAAGACGGACTTCCGACAGGCAAGCGATATCCACACGATATTTAGAAAGGGTGTGGATAATGATTGCTTGACTTGCAACGTCCATAAGCGTTCTGACGTTCCAACTCTAACTTACTGAATAAAATTTGTGTATTTATTTATTATTTATTTTTATCATTGAAAAATAAATTTTTATTCATTTTAGGATATAAGGTTTCAAGGTTTATGTGATTCTTCCTCCCATTTATATTTCCATAATTTTTAGATAATTTTCTTGATTTGATTTTGATATTTTTTTTTTGTACTTTGTTTTTTCATGTTTTTTCTTCGTTATTTTTTTTTCATTATTATTAATAAACATTAATTAACAAATTTTTAATATTATGAAGATAAGTTGAGTAATCGTATCCACTAACCATACAACCTTAAACCTTCAACCTATTTATACTAATTTGACAAAAAAACATCGGCCCATTGAGCCGATTATTTCTTTATTTTTTAAAATCCTAAACCGCTTTATCTAATTGTCCTTCGAAGATATAGTGGAATACCGAATTTTCCTCAATCCGAATATGATAGACGAATGGGGCCGAATTGTACTTTTTATTTATTGCATTTTTGCGATCTTACGGTTTGGCAAAGATCGGTATGATGTGTGGCAAATAGGACATACGAGAGCATGGAGTGGTGGTGGTAGAATGTAAGAGCGGGGTCGTGCAAACTGTCAGCATAGTATAATTGAGTTTGAAGAGGCATTAAGGATATGTGGATCTACAAAATAACGGAAATAACGTGAGCTCCTAGAGGACCGTTATAACAAAGTTGGTTTGTGATAAATATGCCTAATAGATTCCAACCGTTGGTCCTTATCTTATCAAATAATTCATAGAATGATTACTAGTTTATCATCGAATTTATCGATTTTTTTCCATATTTACATATTTTTTATATTATATTTACATTTGTTATCAAATTATTAAATTGTTTACTTTGATTGTTCGCAAAAATAAAAATTATCTCATTAGACTTTTTTATAAATAAAATTAAACATAAAATGAAATATAAAATTAAATATATAAAATTAAATAAGACAAAATTTTTTTACAAAAATTAAAAAATTAAATTGCATTTTCTCGTTTATTTAACACTTTCATGCATTTGTATTTCCTTGCAATCATTTGTCTCTTACTCGCTTACAATTTGCTTTTAGTGCTTTCAGTCAGTTAATGCAGTCATTTCAAAATATGGCGTGCAGCGTGTTTTTACGTTTCCATTATTTCAACGTGTGTTTTATACTTATACTTCGTTCATCCGTTTTTTTTTTTTGCACGGTTGATAATTGTCGCGGAACGGCGAAAGCGAAAAGGTTACTTTTCAGCACAATTCGCGAGGATTTTTTCTGGTTCATTAGTTCATTTGATGTCTTTTCAACTAATTCTTCATTAATTGATCCTTAATTCATTGATGGGCAATCTGTTTTCCATTTTTATAATCTTTTTGTCTTTGCTATTTCGCGACAATAGTCGAATTGTATGTTGCTTCCGGTAAGGTCGAGCAATCATATTTTCGTTTCTTGTCATTTACTGAACCTATTATTAAAAGCGGTATCCACGTGATGGTTATGAAAGTCTTTTCAATTCAATTCAATTAGATATTTCAATTTCCCGAGTGATTTTCTGAACAAAACTTCTGTGAGTCAGTGAGAAATTAGAAAAAATTTTTGCCACCATTTTTTCTTACGTTCTTTTGTTGTAAAATTTTTGCTTTTGGATTTTTACTTATTTTTTGCTGTAAATTTTTTTTTTATCTAAGTTTTTACACATTTTTTTTTCCATTTATTCAGTGCAGCTGTTCATATTAAAATAAGTTCTAATTTACAATTTTTATGAATGATTTTTAGTATATCATTTTGCCGAAAAGGTCACTGACCTTTACTTCTTTTGTTGAGGATCGTTTACATTTATTTGATAGCCTAAATTCGTTAAAATTAAATTAGGTTCAAGTTTTTCCGATGGTACTTTTCAAGACTACAACTAAATTAATTAGGCAAGTTAATGTAATGTGAGAAATTGAACTTTTTCGAATTTAATATTTTTTTGAACTCAGTCGGAAATGGACCCTTTTTGGTGAATTTTTATATTAAAGACGAAATGTTTGACCTTGATAATTTGTAATTATTTTATTCGATTATCATTTTGCTAAACGAATAATAGAGTGACATTGAATAAATTTCAGGTCAAAAATTCAGATCATAAGTGGTTCTCTGGCGATTATTTCAGACCAGTAGATCAGATCACTTTAAGTTTTTCTAAGGTAAATTATTATCCGTCGTCCACCACAGGAGTTCATACATATTTTGCCATTCGCTGAACCCTGTGATTGGCGTCAAAAGCGGGGAAGGCCAATCAAGACCTGGACTGATGCAGTCAGGAAAGATTTTGAACGTATAGGGAAATCAGCGATATATGGATTTAGACGATGGAAAAAGGAATGGCTTCTATTACTACTAGTGATGGTGTCGGACAGAGTAGCTTGGAGACGTTTTACTCTTGTAGCCAGCGGAGCCAGCCTAACCAGTAATGGTGAGTGCTGTTAAAAGAAGAACATAAGTTATTAATCTTGTTGTATGTTTCCCTACTTGTTTCGTTTATTTAATCGTAAAATTTAACGACGATTTATTATGAATAATTTATAAATATAAAAAAGAAAATTTGAAAGTCTTTTATCGATTTGCCTTAATTTCATCAGTTTTTGAATGGATAAAAATCTATTATTGGCTTTAACTTATATCAATTAGTAATTGTTGACTGCTGCGTTGACTGCTAGAGATTGAATCTTAGTTGTGTATTCTTTTGTCTCAGCGTGGAATGGATAGTTGGCTTACAACAACAGGGAATCTGATCATCAATCATTGCTATAAGTCTTTCGTTGCATTTCATGATTCTCTTTATAGTTCTTTCTAGCTTATTTGATGTAATCCATTTCTCTCCACGTTTTTCTATTTTGACATAATAACACTATCGCATTTTATTATAAACTGTTTTACTTTTTATATGCATCGGAAAATTTGGCTTTTCTGAGGCTCTAAAATGAACTGAAGGAAGATAACAGGTTTTGAAGGTATATTTAAAAGTAACCTGGGATTTGAATACACTTCCAAATGTGAGTTTTTTGAGTTTTTTCTGTTGTGCAGGCTTATTTCATGATTTGACCATGTTTTATTGATCCTATAAATTACCGATTTATTTTAGAAAGCATGTGCCAAGTTGCATTTTATAATTCGAATAGTCGACAGTTTATGATAGCACTTGTGAATTTATCTTGATTTATCAATTTTCTAATTCTTGCCAGCAGTTTTCTTCATTTTCGAATCGGTGTTTCATTAATTTATAATATTTTTAACATTTTTAGCTTCTTTCCATTTAATTTTTTCTCATTTTTTTTGTTATTCATTTTTTATTTTAAAATTTAAACTCTCATCATTATTTTTTAAATTTCTTAGTTGAAATTTTAGTCGATTAATTCGGATTTAAATCATTTTCTTATCAATTTGCTATTGATTGATAATGGATTAATTTAAAGTTTTCTGATACTTTTTTTTAATGGAACTAAAAAACGAATAATAGTTGAACAATTGAATAATTGAATTGAATAAAATAAATTACTCTTCTTTGTTTAATATCTTAACGACTTAATTTTTTTCTTTTTTCCACTAAAGTTAGTGAAAATTCAGTGAAATTTTTTATTTTTTTCGTTACGAAAGTTAAATTACGAAAATTTTATGATATTTTTTATTTCTAAAGGCCCTAAAAAATATTTTATTTGAGGCCTTTGATTCTTTTTTTAAAATCTAATTAATGCCTTTTTATTATTTTTTCTGTTATAATTTGTGGCTATCATTAAACACCATTAAAATAAACTTTTTTAACTATTGGTTATTGACCTTATAATTGACACAGTTATTGTTGATACTATATATCTTATATTCTCATGTTGATTTCTATTGATCTACGGACCCATATTTGACCTTTTTCTCTTAACAATTGGCTTTCCGTTCTTTAATTATTATTTTTCGATATAATAAGAAATATGATATACAATATATATATTCATTATAGTTTATCCTTTTCGACATTTTGAAAATAATTTGAGAAGGTCAAGGGGGAAGGACGAAAAGTTTTCCAGCTTTATTTTTCTATCTCTTATGGTACTAATGGAAATAATTTGGATAGGATTTGAATTTGCATTTAGATGAATGTTGAAAATTCATTCTAAATTATCATTTTTTACTTTATCATTTTAATAAATAATTAATTATTTTATTTATTCTTCCTAAATATTCATTTTCATTTAATCATAATTTGGATATTCTAACATATTTATCACTAATTAATGTTATTATTATCATTCTTTATTGTTATTATCATTTATTATTAATATTCTGCTTGATTTGCACCATTTCATTGTTATTCTTGACCATCTGTTATTATTTATTTATTTGTTCGATTCCATCTGCATTTTTAATAATTTATTTTCAATAAATTATTGAATTAAATTTAATTTTTATAATTATTTAATATTTAATATTTATTTAGTAGTTATTTAATATTTGAAAGTTTTTTAATTACTATTTTTTTACTTATAAGTATGCAATGAATAAAATCCCAAGTCTGAATGATTGTTGATGAATTTCATTCATCTTTCATTTTCATTTGTATTATATAATAATTATTTGATAAAATATTTTTTAATAATTTCAGCAAATCAACCGGTTTATTTTCTTTTTTTTCACAGTGAACATTTTATTAATTTATAATTCATTTTTAGAGATCGGAAAAAAAGAATCTATTGAATGAATGAAAAAACAGGTTTTTTTAAAAATAATTTGTATATATGGATAATAATAGAGATTTTATTGAATTTTGAGGTGTAAAACGTATGCATTTTTTAATTTTATAAGAATCCCTTTAACCGTTATTTGAAAGTTTTTTAATCACTATTTTTTTGTTTATAAGTATGCAATGAATAAAGTCCAAGTCTGAATATTTTGTGGAATTTTTGCAATTTTTCAGGTAATCGTTCAGAGTGGTTCACCTATCGAAAAATTTTTACAATTAAAATGGCCGATATATATTTTATTAGATTCTCGCGCATTATTGGTTAAATCATTATTCGATGTATTGAAGTGGAAATCTTTCTTATTTGATCGTCTTCTAATCATTACTAATTAATCACAACTGACAGTTCCAATGATTTGCCTATCTCTTCTTTTTTTCGTTATATTCATTAGAACAAAGGTTAAAAGTCAACTGATAAAAATTATCATTGTTTAGTTTTTTTTGTTATGTTAACTGATCAATGAAAAATGTTTCTTATAAGTTTTTTTCTAATGAAATTTTCTTATCGGAATTAATCCGCATCACCAATTTAATTTAAAAATTTTAGATTTTTATCAATTTTATTTATTTTCATAAATTTGATTTAAAAAAAAAATTAACTGTGAACAGCTGTAAATTTATTAATAGCTTATAAGTAGCTGCTATAAATCAATGTGAAAACTAGTCGAATAGTATTGAAATGGATTGGTGTTCGTCAGTGAATTAACCAAATCCTCTTTTAAATCTTTAAAATAGCCTTCTTTATTGTCGTTTTTTTAGTTGCTGTAACCAATGATGTTTAGCGATAAGTTGTAATTGATGCGAGCAATTAGAAAACGAATTGTATAATTTTTCAGTTATAACGAACTGGGATGGGGACAAATTCGATGTCGTTTCGACTACTAAAAACATCCCACAATTCTTTCGATTATTCCATGATTCTATTTTCGAATTCTCGAATAATGAATATTGCTAGTCGAATATTTCAACTCTTTCTTGCTTTTTAGTTATTTCAATTGAAATATTTACTGGTGGGTGAGATCGTGAGCGTAGTAAAAATAACAGTAATAATTTTTTTGTACGAAGTAAGAAATCGGTTAAACAATCGATCATCCGATAAGTTTTGGTTAGATTAGATTAATTACTGATAGAAGAAAATAATTTGCTGATAATTATATATTTCTTCCTAATAATTTTAAGAATTTATTTTTTTAATTTAATAATTTTCATAATTTAAATATTTTCATAATTCATAATTTAAATAATTTAAATATAATATTTTCATAATTTAAAATTTAAAATTTTAAAATTTAATAATTTTGAGCAAAATTTTTTTTGTAATTTTCTATAAATTAAGATGGTACTTGACAGTGGCCTGGCTGATTAGTTTCGCATGCAGTTCAGTTCTCGCCTACTTGCAATTTGGTCTATTTAATGTTTTTTATAGAATAGATTAGTTAACAGTTTTTTCGCATATTAATTAACAACTATCAAAAATTATATGGCCTTAAATTAAAAATTAAAATTATATTTGTGTATTTGCTTTATTTTAAACAATAATTCGTTGGTGATGAAAAGCATTTCGCAATGATTTTTATCTCTCAAATATCCTCAAGTCAGTGGAGGATGGGATAGCCGAATGATTAATATTCATATTATTGTGTTAAGAATCAATGGGTGATTTAGCCACCGGGTGGTGGTGACATGGTGTTCTTTCACCAAATAACTCAAATAATAACTTTTTTTTTTTTTTTCTTTCGAATAATTAATTAGAATAATTTAATATTTTCGGTAGTAAAATTTTTGACTATACCAATAGGTAGCGGAATGAGTCGAACCAATAAATAAATGGTGAGCTAAAGAGTTTTAGCTTAAATTTTTGTTCATTTCTGTCTCATATTATAAGTTTATTATTGGCGTTTATTATTAAGGCTTTTGGCCTAATAGTTTTAATTTGATTATTATCCAGAAAACTTGAATTGCTTATACAATAAGGCTATTTCATTGATTTTTCCATCAGCCAAAGCGAGTCATATGTGAGTCATTATTAATAATTTATCGATATGAATGGCTCAGCAAGATTTACTTACATATATATATATATATGTATTTATGAAGCAACGACGATTTTTGGAAACCAAATAGTTCTCAGAATTTTTACGCTTCGTTGCTATTTTGATTGTGTATAAACAAAAATATTTTTATATTAAAGTTTATTTGGTTGAAGAGTGATCGAATTGTTGTTTATGTCGATTGTTCGAAGAAAGGAGAATGGGAAGAGGGGAGAGGGGAGAAGGAGCGAGGAAACAGGCTGGGTGGGATGGATTTTTTAAATTTTCGATTTTTATAAACATTAACGATATTCGAACTGAAACACTGAGTTGTCAGGAATGATTAATTTCAATAGGGAAGAAAGGGAATAATAAAAGGAAGAGAGAGAGTAAAATGGTTAAAATCGAAATAGGTTAGCAAAACATTCATATTTCTTTTTTTTTTAGGAAATTCAAATTTTTTATTTATTAATATTTTTTTTTTATATTAATAAAAATAGATGTAATATTTTTTTTATTGGAAATAATATTTATAACATTTGTAATGCAATAATTTGTAATATTTTAATAATAATGATATTTTTCTAAGATAATTTAAAATTTTTATTTTACAATATGTCATTAGACGGAAAATTGAATTTATTTTTATTGAATTATCAATTATAAATCGAATAAATCGTTCATTTTTGATTTTATAAAATATAAAAATTCTACAAAATAATATTTCAATTGATTTCGATAGAATTAATCGAATTTAATTATAAAAATTTTTTTGACACTAAAATAAATTTTATCACCACGATTTTCTTGTATTTAATTTTATTTCTTTATAAACTTATTCGTTTGGCGTTTTTTTTTTTTTTTTCTTCTTTCGAATAATTAATTAGAATAATTTAATATTTTCGGTAGTAATAGTGGCTGATAAGGCGTGAAGAATGGCCGAAATCGATGTTTCACGTTTACCGAGCAGTGTTCGTGAACGTTTAGCGCAGCTCGATCTTGAACTGTCCGAAGGTAAATTTAAAAAAAAATTTTTTTTTTGCGTCTATTTTTCTAAAATAGTTTAAAATTGTCGATGAGAAAAAAAGTGATTGACATTTTGATATTTTTTTTATAATTTTATAAAAAAATTTTATGATTTTTTAAAACATTCAATTATAATTTTAGAATTTTGTAGATAATTATTATTTGTTTTTTATCACTCATGTCTAAGGTAAATTTTACGGGTTCGCTGAGCGGTCAAAATCTCACATGATCGCATCCATCTTCGCTCAAATACCACTTGCAGTACCATCATAAAGCATTGCTTTCACAGATTAAGGCAATTCTTCATAGCATACCACAGGAGTTGACCCACTTGCTAAACCCTGGATGATGTTAAAAGCGTGGTCCAGTTATAATCTGACAAACCTCACAGACTGACACATTCAGGAAAGATTTTGAACGTATAGGAGGACCACCGATATATGCACCTAGATGGTTGAAGAAGGCTTCTATAACTATCAGCGATGGCATCAGATCGAGCAGCTGGAAAGGTCTTAGCCTTATAGTAAGCGAATCCAGCTTTACCGGTAATGGTAAGAACTGTTTGAAGCAGGGAAGATGATTATTATTTGTATTTGCAGGCGATATAACTCAAAAAGGTTATGATAAGAAGAGGCTAGCACTTATTACTCCTTATCTGCATGCGCAGGCGAAAGGTTCATATCTATTTTCTTTTTTTTGGGAGAGGAGTTAATTTTTCACGAGGAATTTCAGTTGGCTCCAATTTTTTAATTTTTTTTTCATAATAAAGAAGAAATGAGAACTGCGGTTTTAATGATTTATGATGTTAATAGTTTATGATTTTTTAATCTATTATTTATTGCAAAAATATTATTTTAAAAAATGAAAATCATTTTTCAGTTTTTAAATTTCAATTTAATTCAAATTTTTTAATATATTTATTTGCTCTATTAATTTAAATTGCTTTGTTTCAGATTCGAAAATGACAGCGAGTCCAAGTACACGTGCGCAAAGACGTCATCAGCGTAGGCTTACGCGTGAAGAATCTCGATTTCATTCAGGTATCCAATAATTTCGTTATTGGCAAAGCAATAAACCACTTATATGAAAGCTTTTATTGGTTAAACATTTTGAAAATATAGTCATTTTATTATTTTTGACTTATTTTTTGCTCACTTATATGTATTTATTTATGTATTTTTAATTTATTCAAAGTTTTTTGTTTTAGAAATTCGTGCTGAAGCAGTTCAACAAGCCTTATCCGAATATTCGAAAGGTAAAGGCGATTATATTTTTATTAAAAATTTTTGAATATCCAAGAAGAAACATTCAACTGAATTTTAATAACCACTGTTTATCCTATTGTTTTTTTTATTGATATAAATTTATTAGTCATGAAAATTTAACTATCTTCATTTTTCATTTCATGAAAATATACCTAATTTTTAAATTATTTTTAAAATTAAAATTTTAATTACTAATAACAAAGATCGTGAAATTTGGTTTTGTGTAATGTACTTTTTTTGATGAATCAGTTTCCATGCTCATTGTTTATGATTCATAATATATTTTCCTTTTTTTATATTTAAGGAAAAAAAGAACGGCCAAATATTTTACAGCCAATAAAGAGGCGAGGAATAGAAATACGCCGAGATAGAACGAAGAATCGTCTATCAGGTAGGTTGGTTTGTTGGTTCTCTTGTTTCTCTTTATAATTACTCTTAAATAAAAGAAATATTAAGAAAGTAGTTCGGATGAAGATAGTATGTTTGGAAGTAGCGATCGAAGTAAAGGAACTCCATCTTCACAATCATTAAGTGATCGAAACAAAAAGATCTCAGATGTTTCTCGTGATTCAAGTATTTATTAAATTTATATTTTGTTAATGTTAATGTTTTGTTAATTTTTAAATTTTTTTATTCATTTTAATTTTAAACTTTTAAAATTTTCAGCAATAAATTAAATTGTGCAATTTAACTTTATTGTTTCTAGAAAATATTTCTCGTGCTCCTCCACCAGATGTCACATCAAATGCTGTTGTTGCTGAAGCTGTTGTTCGGCGTAACGAAAAAAAACAACAGAAATATGTATACTTTTTTATTTTGTTGTTTTTTATTTTTGTGTGGTCTTTTATAAATTTATTTGAATTATAAGTAGCTATAAGTGACTGAAATATTTGATATCTGGTTAATTGGATCGATATTGAGATGACCTTGACTTGAAATGACTTACTTCTTTTACTATCACCAGTTCCAGCGCCATCTGACGATAAACTCTCATCTTTATAGTCAATGAGACTAATCGAAACATGTCAGAGATTATACATGCGAGAAAATATTTGTTTAGGTGAAGTCTCATACTCTCTTTTACTGTCTTATGGATTTTTAAATATAAAATTGAAACTATATTTTCTAGTCGTTTTTTGGTAGTTTTTTTTAGTTTTTCCATTAAAAAATTGAAATATCAAAAATCGAGTTTTTTTCTTTTACGTTATCAACATTTGATTCAAATAGTTTTCTCCGATTATTATAAACTCATCAATTTTCGAGAATTTCTAACTGATAATATAATTCTTTAGACTGAATTTTTCTCGAAGAAATAAAAATGGTTGAATTAATTTAGATAAAATAATAAAAAATTTATTTAAAAAAAGAACCAGTTGTAATAGATATGGTCGTTTAAACGATGAAAAATTGTATAAACATTATTAAATTCGAACTTATCGAATTCATCGTGAATCGTTTTTTTTTTTTTTTGCCATCGCGAATTCTCATCTTTCAAAATAATTAATATATATTGAATTGATTGATAAATTTCATTAATTTTCTCATTATTTTTATTAAATTTTTAAATTTTTCAATATTTTATAAAAATTTTATTTTTTTTGCAGAAATCATCAGAGCAATATGAGCAACGTGTTTGGTCGAGACCATCTAAAGAATCCGATCAAACCGACTCACCGAATATCGCTGGTTCGACTGAGTCAACATCACTAGCAAGTGATGCGGTCGTTTATGCAAACGCTGCAATCAGTCAAAAAATTTCTATAGCTTCCGACTCGTCGCAAGATTATCAAAATGCTGTTATTCGTGGGTTTTTGTGGAATTTGGAATTTTTTTGAGCATTGCTAGCTATTACTGATTAGGCTTGCTTCGCTAGCTTGTTGGACCATATAAATTTTGCCAAAGAATTACTTGGCGTAAAGAGGGTAAAGAAGCAAATCATCACTAGCATCACTTGTACTTCTCAAGGACTGGTTTAATCCTGTCGGGCATAGAATCTCCATCGCTGTTGATTTTCGAACAACTCATTGAGCCATTTTATCCATCTTTTCTTTCGTAGTTCACTGCTTCCAGATGGAAGCGTGATATGCTGCTGGGTTCGAACTCGTGTTATTTGAAAAAATTTAACAATTAATTTGAAGAGAATATAATTAATTTGAAGAAAATTAAAAGAAAAAAGATGGTATTTCAATTATGAAATGAAGTTCAGTTTCTCAAAAGTAATAACAAAAGTTTCCAGTTTTATTTAATATTCTTTCGACAATATTTTATTTTTCAATCATCTCACATTTTTTTGTATTTCATCATTTATAGCATTGAAACCAGCTCGAGTTTCGTTGAAAATTCAACAGCTGTTGCAGTCTTTGCAGGTTTGAAATTTTTTACAAGTTTTTATTTCTTCTATAGTACTGTGTAGTTTGAGCTGTCATAGATTTTCTAAAAAAAAAACAGCTGCTTAAAATCGAGATTAACAATGATGTGATTTTTCGGGTAAATTAGTGATATCGTTGGAGACATTTTATTCTTCACATTCTTAATTCTTTGATCCTTCATTGTGAAAGAATTCGTCGATTTGATTGAGTTAACTTGACTGAGTAAAGATTAGCAGTTAGTTACTCAAAGCATTTTTTACTCACATTCACATATTTTCGCCTTTGATCTTCTAAAATTTTATATCTTTGAATTTTCTCACAAAATCCTTCACTACTCGTTTTTTTTTGCTTAATTTTCTTGAAGTATTTTGTATTAAAAAATGAAATCTATCGAATTTGATGATCGAACAAATATTGCAATACAATATGTGCATGGGAGTGGAATGGCTCAGTTGGTTGTTGTTCAGTTGGGAGTGCCGACATTGACTTTCTACTTCTCTCGCCAAGGGATTCCCCGGCATATTTGTCTAGTATGGCAATCCAGTGAGCGAGTTCAACCGGTAATGGTGAGGGTTGTTTAAAAAAATTAAATGTATATATGGAATGTGAAATTTTTATTATTCCATTCGAGTTGGAATGATTTATTTAATAATGGGGAGGAACCTAAACGGAATGAAGAAGAAGAAGAAAGAAGTTCGAGATTATCTTCTCTTCACTTATTGTTGCTGCTGTTGCTGCTGATACTATTGCTGTTGATCTATTACCGCTGTTCGCTGTTATTTATTGATGGTGATAGAATTATCTTTCTAGTTACGATTTATTATTAGTTCTTTCGTCTAAATTATTCACCTTTAACCTAAAATTTATAAATATTTAAAAGATATCTATTCCTGTGCATTCGTATAAATACGAAAAATTGTAATACGAAGAAGGAGAAAAAAAACGTTATCAAGAGAACGCATAATGATAATGTACGTGTTGTTATCGCATCATAAAGCCGAACTAGAAAATCTGGCTGTTGCAACCAATAGTCATTATTATGGTATGCCACATAAAAATTCGTTTACTCGCTTTGGCCATGAAATTGATTTAAAGCATATGGATGGTGCGTTTCGATCACCACGAAATTCTGTGGTGAAAATTGGTCCATATAATGACTGTATGCAAATATTTCGTTCTAATAATATTCCCCACAGATATTCAACTGATCATCAACAACGAATGCGTAAAACGAAGAAAAGGGATTTTAAGCAAAGTCGACCACCAAAACGTAAAGTAGGTCGATTAATCGGTGAAGATATTTTGAAAATTACGCATTTGAGAGATTGGCATCATAATAAAAGTAGTTGCGATGATCAAATTCTTAATACGAGTAATGAAGCTGAAATTATTAGTACAGCTATAGCAAATGCGATAACCAAAATGAGTGGAAGTAAGCCGCGTTGGGCATCGCAAAAAAGTATTGAATCAACAACATCAGCATCGAATTCCTGTTCAACAACACCAGTTATGCAACGACGTCAACAACGTAGCACACATTTAACGGACAGTTCAAGCGAGTCAGTTGGATCTGTTGAGATCGTTCTCGAATCACTGCGTCGTTCATTAGCAAAACAAGCGGCATTAACTGGCCGAAAACCATGTAATAAGCTTAGCGAAGGTGCTTCAGTTGTTGTTGAACAAGACGAATTGATAACACGTTCTGCAAATTATAATAATCATGAAGAACAAAATTTTGTGGATCAAAAATTAGCCGATTATAAGCAAATATGTGATTTGCATTTAGGAAAAGAAGGAAATATTCGAATATCAGATCTGAGTTGTTGTTGGTTTTTCTATAATGCTCAAATTTTGAAACATTGCCGTAATTTATCATTACAGAGGCCAAAAAAGAAACCGCTACATGAATATTACAACGATGATGATATTGAACTCGAAGGTATTAGTTTTGTTTTTTTGTTTTTTATTTTAATTTTTTATTAACGAAAATTTAGGAATGATTTAATGCCTATTTCAAAGGTTTTAATCATTTTCCATCTTATTTTCAAACGGTTTCTTTTAAAAGAATTTTAAAATGATTTAAATTTTTTCTCGTTTTTTTTTTTTTTTTATTTCACTTGCAAATGGATTGTATTAAATTTTTTTAGGCAAAAGATCTAATTATTTGTAATTTTGCAGTCATTTATATCAATTTAGAATATTTAAATAACTTTTCCTATATTTTTTTCATTTTATATTTTTATACATTTTTAAATTTTTTAATTGATTTTAATTTTTTTAATTAATTTTAAAAGTAATAAAGAATAATAGTAACTTATGCTTGTAAGAAGTAATTTGTAATTAATAATAAACAAAGAAAAATATTACTAATATAGGTGAAATTCGAAAAATTCCATCATTATTATATCAACAGCTGACTCATTTTGCTTTTTTTTGTTAGAAATTCCTCGCATTCCTGAAGTTTTATTTTTTTTAACTTTTGTCTTAAACTATTTTATCAATTTTATCAATGTCAATATCTTTGAATGATCTATAATAACATTAACTGATTAATCTTAATTGATTAAAGAATAGCGATAAATTAGTGATAATGATCTTAGCAATTGAAATTGATGATTTTATTTATCGGAATTAAAATAAAACGAAAAATATGCCTTAGAATGATGAATTAGAAATAGATTTTACTAGTTAAATTTTCTTTTTAGGAGTTTGTAGGATCGTTGCCAAGGACGTTTCATTATCAATTTGGGTGACTCTCCCAAATTGATAATGAGGCGTTCCTAAGCCTCTCCGTACCCTAACTGGAAATGAAATCATCCCAGTCTTAGGCTATATAAGCTATGCAGTCTATGCGTTCAAAATTTTTCTAGACCTTGATTTGACCTCTTATATTTGATGTAATGAATTATGTGGTATGGAATCATATGACATACGTCAATTATTATGATGAATAACGTTTGAGCATCATAGGCAACAGCGCTTTATAATGATATTTATGTAAATGGCATTCGAGCGAAGGTAAATGCAATTTTGTGAAGTTCTATTCTCTCGGCTGGTGCGTAAGATTCTAATGTAGAAATGGTATCTTCTTCCTCTTTCATCGGCTATTCTTATATCGGCTTTGCCGTTGAACACAACAGATTTCGTTTAGCTTAGAAACAGCGTATTTGTTTATTATTATTTAATTTTTTTCCAGCTCTTGCGAAAGTAGTGGACCCATCAGCACCTCGACCAGAGGGTGTTATTATCAGTCCAGCTCGTGGTGATCATGCTTCGGTCTCAACAAGTCTACCTCGATCAATTGATTCGGCTTTACATCGATATGGCACCACTCAACAGAAAGCTATTGCTGCTGTTGTCTTGGATCATTCCGGAAAACCTGCATATTCGATTACTTACGGTTGTTTTCTAACTGGAATTTTTCTGGAAAAATTTTGGATTTTCTGATTTAGGCTTTTACAATTTGTTATTGTTGCAGGAAAATTGTTGAATCGTGCAATTAAGGTTGCACACATGCTTCTGATGAAGCAAATATCTGGATCAATGGGTAAAGAAAAGTTTCATCTTTGCAAAACTGGCGATCGTGTTGCTTTGGTAATTTTTCCTTGTTTATCATGTTCTCAAGTTTTTAGATAATTCTTAGGTTTCATTTCATCTTTTTTAATACTTTCCATTTCCACTTACGGTTTGATACGGTTTGCACCTCTTTATCTCTTTGTTTACAAATATTAGCCTTTAAGCTGAGTTTTGATGCGATATATCAACGACAATATATGAAATTTTTCTAATTGTTCTAATTAAATTCAATTTTTAATTATTTTATAGAATTTTCAGGTGTATCCAAATACTGAGCCTTTATCATTTTTGGTTGCTTTTTACGGGTGCCTACTTGCGGGTGTCATTCCTGTCCCAATTGAAGTTCCTATTACTAAACGAGTAAGTTTCCGCATTAGTCGATCCTTTCAAAATCCATATCTTTCGTTAAAGATATCAGCAAATCAAATTTTCTCACACAAATTTTTTTTAATTATCTATTATGTGGAAAATAATATTGCGAAGATTCTTCTATAGTAACGAATGAAATTTTTAGGATGCGGGTATTCAACAGTTAGGATTCTTATTGGGAAGCTGTGGTGTGAAAGTTGCTCTAACATCAGAAGCATGCTATAAAGGTCTGCCTAAGCGACAGTCTTCTAGTCATTCGAATGGCAGTGGTCCGATTATGCCGGGCAATGACATAGTTGATTTCAAAGGATGGCCTCAATTAGCTTGGGTGGTCACAGAACATTTGGTTGGTTTTTTCAATCTCTTTTTTGGCCCAAATATAAATTTCTATTAAAATGTTATTGTGGCTTTTGATATTTTTTCAAATTTAGAATAAACCTCCCAAAGATTGGTCAGTTCCACCTCGAATTACTGATGAATCAATTGCTTATATTGAATATACATCTGATAGGGAAGGTAGTATGAAGGGAGTATGTTACACGCGGCAATCAATGGTCGCTCATTGCAGGTAATAATTTGTAAAACTTTTGAAAAAGTGAATCTCATTTTTTCAATACTGGTTTGTAGAATAATAGTTTCATTATGATTTAGATCTATAACAACAGCAATGGGATATAATGAATCTGATATTATGGTTTCTGTTTTGGATTTTAAACGTGAAACTGGTCTTTGGCATTCTGTTCTTTCAGTAAGCTCTTTTGTTATTTTTTGTTGATTGTATAAAAAACTTGAAAATTTGTTAGATCTTTTTTCAATTCATCATTTTTCTTTTGTTTCATATTTTCTCTCCTGTCAATTTTTTGTTTCTTCATTTTTTTAGACGACATTACTCTTTTAGAGTGTATTCGCTGGCCTTCGTGTCATATTCATTCCATATTCATTAATGAAAATTAATCCGGCATCGTGGATGCAGATGGTTACAAGATATCAAGGTAAATTTTTTTCAAAGTTCCATTCATTTTTTTTTAAGGATATAAATTAGATTCTATGTTATATTATATAGTAATAAACTTTATATTATGCTGTTCATATGACATTCCTTATTTTTTATATCATTTGCTCTTACTAGCAAAAAATTTGTTGAAAATTGTTTTAGTTCATTTTTTTAGAAGTCTATTATAAAAATAGAAGCTGTCATTCTTTTCAGCAAAATTTGCTCTTGTTAAATCACGTGATTTGCATTGGGGCCTATTAGCGACAAGGGACCATAAAGACATCAATTTATCATCTTTAAAGTCAATTTTGGTGGCAGATGGTGCTAATCCTTGGTCACTGTCTTCTTGTGATCAATTCGCATCAACATTTCATTCTAAGGGTCTTCGGCCAGATGCTCTTTGTCCTTGTGCTGGTTCTTCTGAAACTGGTTCCATTTCCTTGCGAAGGTGCCTTTTTTTTAAAAAATTTCTTTTATGCCTTCTTAAAATATTTTCTTTAAAGCAACTTTTTATTTTAGACCAGCTGTTGAAGAAAATATCTGCAATACAGGTCGTGGCGTATTATCAATGTCAGCTCTAAGTCATTCGGTGGTTAGGGTTGATAGAGAGAATTCTCTTACCTCATTAACTCTTCAAGTAATTGAAATCATTGTTTCATTCACTTTATTGTTTGCATTACTTACTAATACAAAAATTAATATATTATTTGAGCGAGACCATTAAAATTTTGTCATTTTCTAAAGGAATTCTCAAGAAGTTGACATTATATAAATTTTTCAGAAAGTTTATGAGTTATATTGCAGGATGCTGGTCAAGTCATACCAGGTGGAGTAGCTATAGTTGTTAAACCTAGCGGGCCACCTCGCTTATGTCGTGCTGATGAAATCGGCGAGATTTGCATTCATGCTCATAGTACAGGTTGTGCCTATTGGGGCCTAGATGGATTGTCTACTTTCACTTTTAAGGTATATTTCTTTCTAATTTTTGTACTGATTTCTAATTGTGTGTTGCTATACGGTACGATTATAGGTTGAACCATTAGCTGCAGATGATCGACCACTTGGTCCACTTCCGTATGTGCGCTCTGGTCTTCTTGGTTTTCTTGGGCCTGTGAGTTTCTTTGCGAGAATTTTCGAATTTTATTTCCCATTATCTCTTCATTTTTTAATTAATATTTAGTATTTTTCGTTCAGAATGGTTTGGTCTTCGTAATTGGAAATAGAAACTCCCAAATGCTTGTTTCCGGTCGTCAGCACAGCGCAGATGATCTTATTGCTACCGTTCTTGCCGTTGAGCCTATGAAATTCATTTATCGTGGTAAGTTCTAAACTTATCTTTGGATAAAAATTCAAATAAACCATCAGATAATTTTTCTGAAAATAGCTTTAAAATCAGTTTTCAATCATCAAGTTGAATTATTTTCAGTCATTTTAGGTAGAATAGCTATATTTTCAATTCGAGTTCTTAGAGATGAAAGGATATGTATTGTTGCTGAACAGAAACCAGGCATATCTGAGGAGGACTCTTTCAGTGTACGTTTGATGATGATTCTTTTATATTTTATATTAGTCTAATAAAGAACTCTTTAGTGCTTTAATTTTTACTATTATTTAAAAATTAGACCGGAAAATTAAGTAAACATTGAGTATTTATAAATGCTACCATATTTACAAATTTTTTCAGTGGATGAGTCGTGTTCTACAAGCAATTGATAGTATCCATCAAGTTGGAATATATTGTCTTGCTCTGGTTCCCTCGAATCAGTTACCAAAAGTGTGTTTTTTTCTTCAAAAACTTTTTATTTTATGTTTCTATGGAACTTCAGTTTTATTTTCTACCTTTTAGACACCACTTGGTGGTATTCATATGTCTGAAACAAGACAGCGTTTCATTGATGGTACACTTCATCCAGCAACTTTACTTATGTGCCCACACAGTTGTGTTATCAATCTTCCAAAACCGCGTGAACAACAATCTGACATTGGCCCTGCTGCAATGTTCGTTGGCAACATTGTGCAAGGAATGCGTATTGCTGGAGCAAAAGGTCGAGACATTGGACCCGACGATGATAAAGTATATCGGTGTTTTTTTTCGATTTTAAATAAATACTCAAAAGTATTTAAATTTATCGATACAATTTAGATGAGTCTAATTGACGTACTTCGTCAGCGCTCTCAAACATCACCTGAACACGTATTATTCACATTGATGAATGCTCGGGGAACTGAAGTAGATAGTGTTACTTGCCTGCAGTTATTGAAAAAAGCGGAACGTATTGGTTCATTACTTATAGACAAAGGACATTTAAATGCAGGCGATCATGTGGCTTTGATTTTTCCTCCTGGCATAGATTTAATCGCAGCATTTTATGGATGTCAATCTGTTGGTAAATTGTTTTCCTTTGCTAAGTTTTGTAGTTTCGTAAATTTTTGTAATTTTAATGAATTTAATATGGAAATTTAGGACTTGTTCCTGTATGTATTCGTCCGCCTCATCCTCATAATCTGCAAACTACTTTGCCAACTGTTCGCATGATTGTTGATGTATCAAAAGCAGTGGCACTTCTTTCTACCTCAGCTATGATTAAATTGTTAAAATGTAAAGAAGCTTCCATACGCGTTGATGCAAAAGTTAGTGGCATAATTCTTTGATCATTCTTTGAATTCAGTAAGTTTTAGTCGTTATTATCATTATTATTATTATTAACCATTATTATAGGCTTGGCCCACTATACTCGATGTCGACGACATGTCATCATCCAGTAAAAAAAGGATTGAATTTGAAACTTATGAAAGAAAACTATCAGATGTTTGTTATTTGGTGAGTTTTTTCTTTTATTTTATAATTTTATATGCTCATAATTTTTATATTTTTGAAATTCCAGTAATTTATTAATTTTCTACTTTATTTAAGGATTTCTCTATTAGCACAACTGGTCAACTTGCTGGAATAATGGTTAGCGGTAAGGGAGTGGGAGCATTATGTCGGAGTTTGAAGGTGGCTTGTGAATTGTATCCATCTCGGCACATTACATTATGTCTTGATCCTTACTGTGGCCTTGGATTTGCATTGTGGTGTTTATCTAGGTTTGTATTGTTTTTCATTTTTGATATATTTCAGCCTTTTAAAATTTTTTTATTATTTTTTAAAACGTCGGTTTTATTTATTTAAATCCTGATACTAGACTTGATATATTTTCTATTAAATATTTCTTCAGTGTATATTCCGGTCACCATTCTTTGTTAATTCCACCATCAGAAGTTGAACAAAATCCAGCTTTATGGTTGACCGCAGTTTCCCAAAGAAAGGGTATCTCTTTACCATTTTTTTTTCTGAAACTGATAGTTTTTTATATGAATTCGAGATCTGTCATAATTTCAAGAAATATCTGAGTTTTTAGTTTTTCTTTATCACTTATCTCAGCTTAATTTTGCTTTATGATAGATAATATGATCCTAAAAAAATTTTATATTTCTGTATCACTGAGGATTTGTTTTCTGTTATATTATATTTCATGTGATTTCAGTTCGTGATACGTTTTGTTCGTATGGTGTAATGGAATTGTGCGTAAGAGAATTAGCACCACAAATCGCATTGTTAAAGGATAAAGGAATTTCATTATCATCGTATGTTATTGGTCTAGCAAAATTTTTTTTTTGCATTATTAAGATAAACATGCTTTTTTTGGTTTGATCTTTATTTAAATTAATTTTATTAATTTTTAACTTTTAAAATTTTAAAATTAAATACAGAATTCGCACTTGTGTCGTTGTCGCTGAGGAGCGACCTCGGGTGGCATTATGTACCGCATTTACGAAATTGTTTTCTCCATTGGGGCTTAATGCTCGCGCAGTTTCAACTTCTTTTGGTTGCAGAGTATGTTGTTTTGTTCTCATTCATGTTAATGATAAAATTATTAAAATGATGCTAAGGACTGGCATTCTCTTTATATCTTCTACTATATGAGATTTTACTCGTCTAACTTTTTTCTATTTTGAGGTGAATACAGCAATTTGTATGCAAGGAGCATCAAGTCCTGATCCTGCAACAGTTTACGTTGATGCTCGTGCATTACGCAATGATCGAGTGACTTTAGTTGAAAAGGGAGCTCCGCATAGTATCGCTCTAATGGAAAGTGGAAAGGTTCAAATTTTTTAAATATTTTGACGTAAGATTGTGAAAGTCTCAACTGAATTTTATCATATTGAATATTCTGGATTAATAAAAGCGAATGAAAAAATTAAATAATGGGAAATTTTCAGTTACTACCTGGAGTTGAAGTTGTTATAGCTAATCCAGAAACGAAAGGCCAGTGTGCTGACTCACATCTTGGCGAAATCTGGGTGACTAGTGCTCATAATGCCATGGGTTATTTCACAGTTTATGGTGTTGAAACATCACTTCATGCTGATCATTTCAATGCAAGGTATTTATCTTTTGGTCGATTTGTCCGCCTAAATAAAAAATATCTCCTTTCCTTCCATATCTCCTTTTTATTATCCATTACTTTAGGTTAACTACTGGTGATACCAAGAAACAGTTTGCACGGACTGGTTATACTGGTTTTCTTCGACAGACGCAGTCGATTACAGCAGATGGAGGTAGCTATAAAATCTTTCCATAAATCGTAGCGTAGGAGTTGAAAAAAATCATGGATGCATTCCAGATTAAAAATCCCATTAAAATCATTGTTTATTTTTTTGCCAACTAGTTGATTTATTTTGGCTGTTATTTTTTATCGGCTTACGGTTTTTCAGTTTGAATTTAATTGTAATTAATAAATTTTTTAGAATTACATGACGCTGTGTTTGTTGTTGGTGCATTAGATGAAACGCTCATGTTACGTGGAATGCGATATCATCCTGTCGATATTGAGGCAACTGTTATACGCGCCCACAAGAAAATAATGGAATGGTAATTCTATATTATTACAAAGTTCTACTTTTATATCTCTTTTATATTTTCTATTTCAAAAATCCGTTGATTTAATATTATTTTGTTTTTCTTGTAAAGAAATAATCCGACAGATATTGTGAATGAGTAATCAATTTGCTTCCTATGTTAGTTATATTTTGGTTGTATTGTTAGTCAAAATTTTTGCAGCGCAGTGTTTACATGGACACATTTGCTTGTTGCTGTTGCTGAAACTGAAGGATTGGAATCAGAAGCTCTTGATTTGATACCTGCGATAACTTCTGCTATATTAGAAGATCATCATTTAATTGTCGGTGTAGTTGTTATTGTTGATCCTGGTATCATACCAATAAATAGCCGTGGTGAGAAACAACGAATGCACTTAAGAGACGCTTTTCTACACGATCAGCTTGATCCGATATATGTGGCTTACAATATGTAGCGGTTTATCTTGGCTAGTTTTTAAATACTAAGTGGAAATTGAATGAATTTTCATTAAGCACTAATACATTTGTATCATCACAATTGGACATAAATTGATCGAATTGCTTTGATCGGTTTTATTAAATTATCGGTTAAATGTTAACTTTTCATAATGAAAAATTTATAAGTGTATGCTTCGTATTTTAGGTAAATATTTACTGCAATTTTGCGATTAGTTTTTGAAGTAAAACGTTTCGTGAAGTTTTATAGCAAGTTTTATGTGAATTCATCATTTGAGCACTTTGCATTCACCAAAAAATTTATTGCTTTTCTCTGTAAAAATTCGCCTGTTATTTTTGTTATTTTGCTATTTTATATAACAAATTGTTTTTTGAGCTTAATTTTGATTTGTTTTTATATTAAAATCATTTATTGGTTTTTCCAAAATACCATCATTTTAGCTTTTAAGCTTTGCTCAACAAAATGTAAATAGTTTTCTTTTTTTTTGTATATAGCTGTACAGTTGAATAGTTCCTCTTCTTCCTTTTCTTTCATGTCGGACTGCCTTTATATTTTATAGATCATTACAGCAAGTTATATAATAAATATATATATATTTTTTTTTGTTTAAATTTTCGCTTTTTCTCGCTAATTTTCTGTTAATTTTTGTTTTGTTAGGCGAAAAATGTTTAATTTATTAGCCTAACAAATCCAAATATTGTTTTGGATGGCACAAGCAATATTGCATTTGATTCCTCTCTCTTGGTAGGGATAATATTACGTAACATGGATAATATTTAAAGTGAAAGCCAGCCAAGTGGCACGTCCGTGTCCTCAAGAATGGTGCGTTGTTGTTTTAAATCGAACTTTATATTATAAATTTATGATTTTTAATATCATCATGTGAAATGATTCCTATTTGTGACCTAAAAATAGCTTTGTTAATAGGTTCGACTTGACGAATTTTATCTGTAAATGATTTTTAAGACGCCTTATTTTTGCTGATTTTTTACTTATCCAACTACCTATCTTTTGATGGCTCTTTTTCTTGCTTTTATTATATATTGTAAAATAATTTAGATAATTTTTCAATAGGCGAAGTAAAATTAGACGCGAGAAAACGAAAATCTTCGACTCATTTTGAAGCCGCTCGCTTAAATTTATCAAAAAACTTTTTTTGGCCAAAATCTTATCTTTTTTCTCTTCTGGTCTTCACTGAAGAAATTCATCGAGGATTATTTTAGATTTCATTGTCTGTTTATTATCGGTGATTTGATGCAATAATTAGCCATATAATTATTATTATGTGAATTTTTTTTTCCTTTATTATAGGTGATTATCAGTGATTTTTTCATTTGGCCACATTCACATTTTATGCCTGTTTTTCTTTCTTGTTTTTTTATTTGCATTTATTTGTTTATACTTATGATTTCATTTATTTGTTAAATTATTGCTTAATTGTTTTATCATAGAATTTTCTTATATTTTCGTTTTTTTTTTGAAATAATATAAATTTTGCAATTGCGAAACTATCTATTTGATTTACGAAATTTTCATAAAATTCCACCAAAATTGCCAACTTTTCATTTTTTGGAATTTATTATTATTTTTTTATATTTATTTTATTTTTGGATTTTTTATTTTTCACAATTTGATTGTGAAAAAAGTCTGAAATACCAAGTTTAAATTGGAATTTTCTGGTCGATTTTCACTACTTTGAAACGAAGAGAAACTCGTAAATTCGCCAAGCTTGCGCTTATGGGAAAAATTTTTTTGAGTGATAATTTGATAATGTTGAAATAGCGAAGACTATTTGTATAAGCTGTCCAAGCTTATTAATACGGTGATATTTCTCAAATTCTCAAATTAATATTATTTATAACCTTTCAAAACGCGAAAACTGTAATGAATATTTTTTTCAAGAATAAAATAAAATTTTTGAAATTAAAACTAAATAAAAAATAAATAAATTAAACTAAAATAAATAAAATAAAGTAAACTAAAATTTTTTTTCGAAAAAATTTTATACGAAATCAGTGGAATAATATTTTCATGAACCAACTGATAAGATTTCCTTATCAATATTAGTCGATTTATAAATGAAAAATTCAATTAGTTTTTGAAAATATCACCTGTTTCATTTATAAATTTCATAAAAAGTACTATCAGCAAAACGTAATTTCGCCAGAAAGTCACTTTGGCTAAACAAGATATAAGTATAAAGTAATCTGTAACATTCGAATTTTTCTATGAATAGGCTCACGCTTACAAGCCGAAGCCTTACCCCCATGGTTCTATCATATTTGGAACCACTCAAATTTCTCGTTGAGCTGTTTTGTCGAAAATTGGACAGATTGATTTCAGCGAGTCGAACACTTGCGATTCGGAAATGAGATGAATAATTGAGCTCTTTCTACTCCAAAATGCTCCTATTATGCTACAAATTTCCTCGATATTCTTTGGTACATTTTTAATTTGCACCATAGTAAATGGTTGCAAATAACCACCATTTTTGGTTATTGTATGGATCAAAACAATATGAATAAAAATTTTAAAATTATGATACACATAGTGATAAAATATGAAGTGATAATGGTACACAGTGATAACGATCAAAGTGAAAAACATTAAAGATAATCAAACATATTTCTATTTTAAAAATGATAAATATTCTAAAAGTTCGTTTAAAAATTAAGAAAGCTGATAAAATGCTGATAAAAACGACAAAAAAAATGATAAAAGTGTAATTATGCTATTCCATAAATATAATTACCATAGTATTTCTCTTGGAAAATTTGAACAAATAAAGAAAATTTTTCTATCAAAGTACTTCGTTAAAAAAATTGGATAACTCGGATATCTCTCACTATTATTGGTTAGACTGGCTCCACTAGCTACAAGAATAAGACAGGTGCCTGATCTGATGCTATTGTTGGTAGTAATAGAAACCATTCCTTTTTGCGCTATTTAAGTCCATATATCTCTTATTCCTCTAGAAGTTCAAAATCTGTCCTGACCGTATTAGTCCAGGTCTTGATTGGCCCACCACGATTTTGACACCATCCATCATAAGGTTTAGCAAATATGCATTCTGTGGTAGACGACGAAGCGAAGGATGTGCCTTAACCAGCGAAGATGACGTTCTGTGATGGTACTATTAATACAAGTGGTTTAAGCGAAGATGAATGTAATCATGTGAGGTTTCATGTGCTCTGCGAACTAAAATGTATCTTAGACATGAGTGGTCGAAAGGAGATAAAATCTTCTTAGTATCCTTCATTCGCATCGGTCAAATCATCTCGCAGGCCATATAACAAGGTCGAGCGAATCGCGTCTATATAGGCGCAGACCTTCGTTCTTAACTAAAATGCTAAAATTCACAAAATAATTAAATCTTAAAATTAAAACTGACCGGCATTATAATTCTAATTTTGATGAAATTTGGCGAAAAAGTAATACCGAGTAATTCTAAAAGATCATTTGTTCAGAATTAGAAGATTTTAGTACACCACTAGAACCTGCTTCCATGTTATCAGTACCATTACGATTTAACGACACGCTATTGATTCAACAAAGTTAGTGATAAATTCATCTACGTAAATAGCTTCAGGAATATTTTCTTGAACAATTGTAAGACTAACCTTATTTAATCTCAGCATTACGCATGGTGTGTTAGGTCGAATCCAAATAACGAGTCGCTATAACCAAAACAGAATTAGTTAGTGCATCAGCTAATTACGGATATTGAATAGAAACTGAGTCGAGAAGTCGGAAAAAAAAACTCCTTTACACTAACAAACTCCTTTACATCAGTAGAGTTATCCAAATGAAAAATAGTAGAAATTTTCAGAAGAATGAGAAAAAGTGAATTATCAGATTAAAATGGAAAATATTAGAATATATTGTTGATTTTATAACTGATAAGAGCGATATTAATAAATGATAATTGATAGAATATTGACAGAAAAAAAAGAGAACTATTGAAGAGAACATTCTCCGAAACCATATTCACAGTCGTTATCACTCACATCAATATCACAAAAATAATTAAATAGGTTTACCATTGAAATGTTCTAGTGAATCAAGTAAATAATTTCTTCCTTTACCATTGTTCTTTTTATAATCTATTTATATTTCAATAATTTCAACAAGTTTTAGCCAAAAGAAAGATAAAAAACTGATAATTAAAACAAATAAGCCAAAGTTCCGTTTTCATTTTACTTGCATTTTTTCAGCCATTTTATTTATTTAATATTAAATTTTATTAAAAATATGCTTAAAACCATTCAGAATAAATTTATTAAATTCTGATAAAAAAATCTCTTAAAAAACTTCTGTATTTTGTTTAGAAAGTTTGCTATGAATTCAGTGCGATCTTTAGGGAACAGTAGTAGATTAACTTACCATCCGATTAGATAGCCAAGCATTATTCCCTTTGCTCTATTACTAGGAGGAGAGGGTTTGAAAGCTTTGCGATTTTATTTTTGAAAATTTATGATAAGATCATTCATTTGTAAATTCACGGCATATTCAATGACTTCTGGCTATTTTTCTAATATATTTGCCTACCCCATGAACGAACCTCTTGATATCATCCTTATCCTGCATGATGGCTCAATTGGTTGTTGCTCAATTCGAAGATACAATATTAAGGTTCTATTCCCCGCAGGCCTAAACCTGTAATCCAAAATCCGAGTGATGCTGGCATGCTGGCGACTCATCTGTACTTCTATCGCCTCGCCAAAAAAATCGCTGGCATATTTATCCAGTGCGACAAGCCAGCTGAGCGAGTTTAACCAGTAATGGTGAGGACTCTTAAAAAAAAAATTCTTAGCCTATCATCATAATATTTCACTGATTTCACTGTTGAGGTTAATTTCTAGATAAGTTTAACCGAATGGAATGGGCAAATTTTTAAATCCAAAATCCAGAAAATTGAAATTCTTCTGAATATGAATTTTCCTTCTCACCGAAACTATGTCATCCATTTTCGATCACAAAATCGCAACTTTTTTTCTA